GCTTATATCTAAAAAGAATATTTGAAATATTTTGCTGAATGAGCTTGCTAAGCGTGCACTCAAAAATGTTCTTATTTATATCCGTCTGGCATTCTATAGTATTACTGTATAAAAGGAAAAATTATATAGCATATAATAGATTTTGGCGGAAATATAAACTTGCATTATAGCTGAAAAATACTAATTTTTCTTTGGAAGAACCTTTTAAGTACTTTTAATAAAATCTTCAAAGATTCTTCCAATTGAACTACATCAAAAACCGCTGTTAAATATTAATTAACAAATTCATATTGCCTTGAGTTCAAAGAGCACATGTTTCGTCAATTGCTAAAATTGTAAAGCAAGTTGAACCCAAGCTCAACTTAATAAAAATTATTAAAGAAGAGTCGAAACTATAGCTTGACTCTCCCAAAATATTCAAAGAGAAACCCTCAACAAATTCGTATCAATTAGAAGCCAACCGAACTTGGCCAGAAAGTCGTGAGGCTCTGATAAACCTACACCGGTTTGTTGCCCAACATCTTTAAATAGCTGAAACTTTTCCATTCAAAGGCCTAAAGATAGCCGTAATTAATTTCGATCAATATCAGTTAAAGGCAATTGAATAGAGTATTCCCGATTCGATTGTCGAGACCGTTCTCGACCTGTGTCTCCAGGCTTGGCATGCAAATAAGTGTGAATAATCGATGACAATATTGGAATTTTTATATATATCCATTTCGATGGCATCTAAATGTTTGGGCAAATGTCTCATTACAGCGGGGAATCGGATCGGGATCAAGTCTACGGATTGTGTGAATTCCAAAGGCATATTTGAGCTGCCGACAACGGCGTAATTGAATTGTGTCCAATCAGCGGCAATTGTCCACAGCGCCACCCGCCAATTTCAATTATCGCTGGAAACTTTTATCGGATATTGAAATTGGAATGGGAATTGGAAATGAAAATGTACATATTGTGGGTGTGGCAGGCGGTGGGGTGGGCGTGTCGCTTCATTAGCACCCCGTCATCTTCTGGTAACAACTATGTCCGTCTGTGGGTCAGCCAATTGGCAAACATTCAAAGACGCGACACCCAATTCAGGTATTTGCGGAAAAATTTATTCATCAAAAAAATACTACAAACAAAAATTTGATTCAATTTAATTGCCACAGGCCACAATCGAGAGCGACTATCCGTTATAAATAGATCGTTTCGGAGCAGTTATTTCCGCCGGAGGTAGGAAAATTAATGATTGCCTTGAGTCACTCGGCAAATCTTACCGTGGACGCAGTGCCACTGCAGAATCTAAGCTCCACACAGAATCTTATCGCGTGGAAGATTTCGTGGGGGCCATAAAGAAAGGCGTAGTTCAGATGTTATATTGTGTAGAGCTTTATCATTTTGTGCAGTGGATTTATCACCAGCAGTACCCAGTCCACAGTTCCCCCTTGTGACATCACTCGGGAACACAGAGAAAAATCTGGAGTCCTTTTAGACCCTAGATTGTGAAATTACAAACTCGAACTTAAACTTGAGTGGTTTGCAAAATTATAATATTAATTTTGATGAAAACATTTGCACTGAAATATTTTTTGGGAATTTTGTCTTATTAGATATAAAATCTATTATTTTGTTAAGGTAATGAGTATCAGGCTTAAAAAATTATATCCTGTTTTAAAAAATTAACAATAAATGTATTCTGAAATTTAATAAATCGCAAACATTTTATTGCATACTTTTAGAGACCTCTTAAAGGGAGTTCATATCCCTAAAGATAGTTTTTCCATACCCTAAAAATCTTTAAAATAATTTTAAATCATTATCCCTAAGATTTTCTCTCCCTGCATCCTCGTGACATCACTTAGTAGCCATAAACGATTATCTCTTTCCACAAAAGGGCGCAAAACTTGGTTACAAAGATCAGTTAAAAAACCGTCAAAAGTGTGACTAGGCACAAATGGGCGTTGGTAATATGCGAGTGGCGTGGATCATCGTAGCTAGTTGTGAAATGGGAAAAATTAACAATTCATTATCGCCGCAGAGACAGCTGAACACTCGCTCGAATATAAATACGAATACAATTTGTGGAAAAACAACAAACAGCATTGGGTATTTGCGTTAACAGTGCAAAAAAAAAGTGATTAAGCGATAACCTTAAGGAGCGACGCCAAGAGGGGGGACAAAGAATGCGATCGGCGAGAGAGAGCAAAAAAAAAGAAGGAGAGTGAGTGTGTGAGAGTGTGTGTTGCTTTGGGGCGCCGCACTGTGCTAATTGTTTTTGCCATTTTGCACACACACACACACAGGCTTAAAGCGAGAGCCCCCAAAGAGAGGAGCTCGCTCGCTCTCTCTCTCGGTTGATCTTTGATCACGTTTCCCGCACACGACGAAGGCACCCGAGTCAAGTCGCTCGGCGCCTCTTTCACGTGATAACCATGTGCGCTACGCTCTCCCTGCCTCTCTTGCTCCATCGCTCTTCCCCTCGTGTGTCTTTATGTCGAAAACGAGTCACAAAATGAGTTGGCCATTTTTATCGCAAGCGGGGGGGGGACTAGGGGGAACAGGATAGGAGATTGGAGATCGGAGAGAAAGAGCGGGGGAGTTGTGTTGGGGCTGGGCCCATGATTTCACCACTCCGACAGAGATAGAAAGATTCGAGGCAGAAACTGCCGATTCACATTGAGTCGGCCGACTATCACGCATTTCTCATTCCCCCCATTCTGGTCGAGATTTGCACACTTTATTTTGGGCCCATGCGCAGGCGACGGACCCCCATCCAACCAGTTTTATGATGATGGCCAAAAGCGTTAAGGCCGCGAAGCTAAAAGAAGCCTCATCCACATTAAGAAATTTTTAGGCTATTAATTAAGTTATCAAGGGAAGAAAACGTATTAAGATCAATGATTTTAGATGATTTTTAGTCATTTAAACGATTGTAAATTTAATTTTAAGGTTTATTAAGTAAGTTTATAATAGATTTAAGCAAGTTAGGATCATAATTAATATATGGTTAGAATATCATATTAGGGTTTCGAAATTCTTTAAAAATGTATCTATAACTATGCTTTAAAATCTTAAAGTGATCAAAAACTTTAAAAAATATATCTTATTTATTATAAATTGTATTAAATGATATATTTATATTTTATATTTTTATTACGCTCAGATATTCCCTTCTTCTCCAAGCATATAAGAGTTCAAATGATCAACTTAAAGCCCGCACTATTTTCTACAAATCCACTAACTTCCTACTCAATTTTCCCTTCTGTGTAACAATTAACTTGCCTGTTAGTACAAGTGGCTACAACTAAGACTTATGGCTTTATAGCCAACTTGATAAGATCTCTTGAGATTCCATAAAAAGAACTCCCCTAAAAATGGGCATTTAATGGATTGCCTTATCGCTGGGGCTTCTGGAGAGCTTCAAAAACATGTGAACGATGAGTGAAAATTGCTGAATCCAACAGAAATGGGAACTTACCCAGCACGAGATCCGATTCGAAATGCTAGTTTTACTCGGAATCGAATTTAAATTCAAATTGGGTTGACTCGAATACTCGTACAAACGTACAAACACTCGTGCATTGCCGTCACACGGCTAAAAATACGAATACGATTGTATTTAAATATGTGTCGCGGAGTACATAACATAACACTGCCTTTGTTCATATCGCGTGCTGGAAGAAATACAACAATAAAAAGTAACAAAAATAAAAACAACAATAAAAGCAACAGGCATTTATTCAAATTCCGCTTATCAACAAGTTTTTGCCGCCGCCGCCGCCGCCACTGCCATGTGCCCAGCTCCCCCGGCTGCTCCCCGATCTCCTCCAGAGCTTCTCGAGTTCGAAGCTATAAAATGTGCACGGCACTCTCTTCGTAGCATGTGGGATTATATGATTGCAGAATTGATTTGCCAGCCTCGACTTTATCACAGATGTCTGGGGAGACTACGGAAAAGTTTTTTAGCTCAAAAATTATAAATTATTTTTTTTTGTTATATCAGCAGATCTTGAAAAATCTAGATTAAAGTTGAGAAAAGAAAGGAGAAAGAATCTAAATTGGATTTGAACATGGTTTTCTACTTAAGGTGTATCTTTTACACGAGTTTCTACTTGAATTCTACAAAGCTATGTACTTTACATACTTCTTGCCTTGAGATATTTGCTTTTTTGTAGCATACTTTTTTGCGCTCAAAGTTAAAAATGCTTAAAATTTCATTCATTTATTTATTTCATTCATAAATGCAAACTTAACTTGCTGTGAGGCTCCTGTAGACCTAAAATATATTTAACTGAATATTTTAAATATGTTAATATATTTATATAACAGTACAATTGGGCTGATAAAGAGCAAGAAGTCCTGAAACATGTGTATTATATAGACTTTAAATTTATACTTTTATAAACACTTTTTACAAATTGTTAAATTGTAATAAATATAGTTAATATATGACACAGTTATTTAATTTGCTTAATAATAATAATACCAAGAATATATAATAAAATATGATTCTTTTTAGGAAACTTGAATGGTATAAAATATTATAACTTGGCCAAAAATGCATTAATTTCAACTCGGAAAGCTTTTCTGTGCTAGTTTTTATAAGGTTAACAAACTGGCATTTTAAGTTTTCAAATTTAAAATTTTTGACAATTTTAATGATGTAACCCCTTATAAAATTTTGGGAAAATGCCTCAAAAAATTTTTTTTGCCAGACATATCTAGATCGACTCGGCTGTTGATGCTGATCAAGAATATATATGATTTATAGGGTCGGAAATGAGTCTTTCACTGCGTTTTAAGCTTCTAACTGAAATTATAATACCTTCAAAGGGTACAAAAATATTCTATCTATTTTGTTTCTCCTCAACTATAAACTTTTTTGTTATTATTAATACTAAGAACTTAAACAATAAAAATCTGAATATATATTTTCTTGACCTTCAAACAGGCTAACACCCACTCCTACCCTGGAAAAAAGGTCAACCACATCTGGGAATCAAACATTTCTGCGGTTTTATGTTCACATGTCTTACATGCTTAATTTATTGTGTTTTTCTTATTTTTCTTCTTTCTTTTCGGTTGAGCTTATCAATTAGTCGATACTAACTAAGACTTAAGACGAGGGGGAATGCAAATACAAGGTATTTAAATACAATTTACAAATATACAAGCGGCGGAAATGCGAGAATGCATTGCCCGCCCATTGCTACAGTTAGGGATCCTAACTTAGGATTGACAGTTTGACAGTTTCTTTTTTTTGGATTCGGTGGACCTGTGGCTGGACTGGCGGAGAGAACTACATAGCTGACTAGGCGGTTTCTAAGTCCACTATTCCACTAAATTCGTCGTCCTTAGTGCTGCGACTCCACCTGGGGAGTGGAGTTGCGGCGGGGCTTCGGCGGAGGATCGTTCCAGGGCTGGACACTGGCCTTGCCGAAGATCACGTACAGAGTGTTGCCCACCAGGTAGATGCCGGAAGCAATGAAGAACACAATGCGCCACTGCTCGGGATCGTGCTAGAGAGAGAGAGGATCAAAGGTTAGTTAATAATTCAGGATCCTTTAAGATAATGCCAAAAACCCACCTCATCTGTGACAATAAAGCCCACGATCAGCGGGGCAATGATGCTCATGATGTTGGCCACTCCGTTGGTAATGCCCATCAGGATACCGGCAAAGTTTGGTGACAAATCAATATGGTTCATGTTGTAGCCCAGGTAGGTGGCTCCATTCATGCCCACAGTGAAGCAGAGCAAGACCACAGCCAGCTCCGATTGATCGGCTCCCACATAACCCAGACACACCAGCGTGATCATGGGTATCCACAGACCAATGGAGTTGAAGAGCTTGCGACTCGTCACCGTGGACACGCAGTTCCTGTTGTTCAACTGGGCGGAGATCGCGGAGAACACAAATGACATGCAGAACATGCAGACATAGGGCAGGGACGACAGCAAAGCATTCGATTTGATATCCTTGCCCAGGACATTCTTCATGTAACTGGGAATCTCTGTGAGCAGCGTCCAGAAGCCCCAGTTGTGGGTGGAGTGAGCCACAATGAGCACCAGGAAGGCGGGCGATGTAAAGAAGCTCATCCAGGGCGTGGGCAAATGTTCCTTGGGCACCTCAGCGGCATTGCTCACCTCGCTGGCATGTCCCATCTCAATGAGCTTCCTCTCCTCCGCCGAAATGCTCTTGCACTCCGAGGGGGAACCAGCTCCGAAAAAGAAGTAAATCACAGACCACACGCAACCAATGCCTCCGGAGATGTAGAAGATGCTGGGCCAGCCGATGGGCGAGGCTGCTATCACTCCACTGGTGGCCAGCATAATGATGGTTCCAAACTGATTGCCAGCATAGGCGCAAGTGCCCAGGGTGGCGCGCTCTTTCGGGGGAGCCCAGTGGGAGAGGATTGTGTGGGTGGAGGGGAAGACCACACCCTGGCAGAGTCCTTCCACGACACGCAGGGCACAGACCAGCTGCCAGCCTCCAATCCTGGCACAAATAGGAGTGAGGATATTCAGGATAGAGCAGATGCTCAGTCCAGAAAGGATCATGATCTTGCCACCGAATTTGCGGGCCAGTTGACCCGCAGGCACCTGGGTAATGACATAGCCCCAGAAGAAGCTACTCAAAAGCAGGGATTTCGTTTTCTCCGACCATTCGTACTCCTGAGGAAGAGAGGAGAAGTCAATTTAGAAAGGTTCTTGGTTTTATAAAGATTTATTCTGACCGGAAAATTGGGATTCACGGAGGCAGCATCAGTCATGGCCACCACAGCCACGGACAGGTTGACTCTCAAGGCATAGGCCACCGTCAGGGCAAAGAAGAGCAGGAATACCTGAAAGTGTCGCACTCCCAAGCCGGAATCTAAAATATATTAAAAAACCCATAACGATTAGGTAATGTTATAACTGTAATCTATAAACCGTATTGATCTTCGGGCCAATCAATGGGCAATCAGACATCGATTAGCTAATGCTTATCACCTATCAGCCAGCTATCAGCTTTATATATATATAATTATAAGCGTGCAGTCTTTGTAGATTTGTGGCTGTGTCTGTAGGTCACCTGTAGGGCAACGATTTACCTTTCTAGTTTCAAGTTTGTGGCCACAATTTAGCGCCCAAATTTATCATCATCCCTTATCTCTGGCAGACGGGCACGCTGTAGATATAATTATTTGCCTTTCTATTTGCACTTTGGGGGCAGCTTCTGCTACTGAGTTCCTGGATTATATGGGCCCCATGCTTTCCGTAAAAAAATTCCATTCATAGATATGGCGCCGAAATGTCGGCCATGTCTGACACTTAACCCCTTTGCTCACCCGCGTCATATCCATATCTATTTATATTTCTATCTCTCCATGTAGTTGAGACTAGTTTTCTGTGTTTGTTTAATCTCTGGTTTAGTGACAGAGATTAACTAGTTGTGAGTGGGTCATAAAACTATATCAGTTACAACGGATTTGCACTTGGGGCTTAAGTGTCATCGTAAAGTCCTTCAACAGGCCCCTTTTTTTTACTCAGATTTTTATATTTTCTTGCTAAAAAGGGGGCTCGTCTTTTATGGATATTTTTGTTATCAATGCTGATAAGAGTTTTTCTATGGGTTTTAAAGAGGCTATAGACTTTTAAGCTTTTAAGTATTTTTTTTTTTACTGGGAAAATGTTGGGGTCAAGCTTATTGAGTTGGGAAAATTATGAGGTTTACATATTTTCTAATTTTTAACTATAAAGTAAAGTATAACTAAGAAAATATGTTTTAACAGGGTTAAAGAAAATTATAAATTTCATGAAGAGTCATAAAATATATATTAGTTTTTATTACATGATTTTGGATATTTTTTTATTTGAATGGGTTTTAATTTAGTATATTAATTACAAATATCTTTAGTCGAAAGTTATGCTTATAAACAGTGGAGAATATTGTTGCAATAGAAAAATATTAAGGCAATCCTTTTAAAGCGTTTTAAATATAATTTTGAATCTTAAAACGTTCTTAAAATATCGCAAATTTTATATAGAAAGATTTACGATATAAAATATAGTTTAAATAAATTTAATTTGATGAAATACGCATAAGGACCACTATTTTTTTGTTTTCTATTTATCTTTATTTTCCAAAATAATAATTTCACAATATTCAAGATCTTTAATTTTATATTTTATAGACTAATTAACTCTTTTGTAATGTAATAACTTATTTTAATTACAAATTTATCAAACAAAACACACACTTTTCCCTAACATTAGCCTAGGTAACTCTCTTGGTTAAGCTTCTGTAATTAAGGACCCACCTTCATCCTCAAAACGACGATTCTTGACAGTGGTAACCATAATGGCAAGTAAACTGATTAGCTCTTGATACGATTAATAATTTTAATTGAATTTAATCACAGCTAAAACACTACCGTACGGCTTGGAGCCTGTTCACTAACTGATGGATTCTTGGCGTAGCATCCGCAGGTGCTTTACGCAAATAGCCAGAGTCAGGGGCTTGATCACCTAACCAGCATCGCGCCTGGGAAACCGTATCTGTATCTGTACAAGTACCAGTACGAGTATCTGTATCTGTAACTGTAGCTGTATCTGTATCTGTATCTTCCCTGCAGTACCACATTTCATCAGTAGGCTTTTTCATCAACAAATCATCAACGCGCCGACTGCGACGCCGACAGAATCGACGCTCTGCCGACTGCTACTTGAACCCGAACTCCCTTCGGAGACCCGAACTCCCTTCGAGTCCGATTTGTCGGTGCATGCAAAAAAAAAAAAAAACAATTTGCATGGGCTTCGTTTTTTGAAGTCCGAAACAAAGTAGAAGACGCAATTAAAATAGATTCTCGAAGGTTCGACTCCATATTTTCGGAGCAACGGTTTTCGGTTTTGTCTTGCTTCTTCTTATTCCCTTTGCATTCGAAGTTGAAGTGCTCTGCACTGCAGAAGTGTCGTGTGTTTCATTAATTAATAAATATATTATTAAATAAATTCGTTCCGGGCCTTATTGGAATATATAAAAAGGTGAGTAAAGTGAAGTGTTTTTAATTAAATAAAAGCCTATGTGTATTATTTTAATTATTATATATTATATATTATATTATTTTTTTCTTTTCTGATCGCAGTAATCGCCAACATATTGAAACGAGGATCTTTTGGGTAAATTCTATTTAATTGTATTATTATTATACCCTTGATTAATTATTATTTTTTTGTAGATGCAATTGCCCAAGTGGATAGAACTGAGCCTCCAGAGAAGTTACTGCGCAAAAAATTTGGTCTACGTCAATAAAAAGTGGAAAACCGAGTAGCAAACAGACCCTGAGGCCTTTCAATATATGGATTTAATGTTAATTGTTTATATTTGTGTCTTAGTGTTGGTTTAGAATTAGTAAGAATAAATAATATTAATAAAATCTCAAGAATTTAATATTATATATGAAAAAAAAAATCATCAATAATTCATCGAAGAATCATCATCATTTCATCGATCAAATATTGATGAAATGTTGATGAAATACTGATGAAATGTTGATGAAATACTGATGAAATACTGATGAATTACTGATGAATTACTGATGAAATACTGATGAAATGTTGATGATTCATCAGTATTTCATCAACATTTCATCAGTATTTCATCAACATTTCATCAGTATTTCATCAACATTTCATCAGTATTTCATCAACATTTCATCAACATTTCATCAGTATTTCATCAGTAATTCATCAGTATTTCATCAACATTTCATCAGCCTTTCATCAGTATTTCATCAATAATTCATCGATGAAATGATGCTTAAATGTTGATGAATTGCTGTTGATGACAGCCTATGACATGCCCATGTTAAATTCATCAGTAATTTGTATGGCAATTCATCGCTTAATCATCAACAAAACGCTTCGGCTATTGATGAAACGTTGATGAAATGTTGATGAATGGTACTGCAGGGTTACTGTATGTGACGTTAGCTGTCGCCCTGTGTGTGATTTGTTGGCCGTGTAAAAGCGCGTGGCAAGCGCAGCAGCCGCCCACTTGCACCCTCATCCTAGTCTTGACTTGGAATTTGTGTACGTACCCCCCTGGGTGGAAAACCTTATCTTCCATTGGGTAATCTACAAGGTTAATTCGATGTAACCATTTCGGGCCGATCACTCGGTCAAGGCATGTCCTCGGGCTGGCTGAGTATCAGAACTTGTATCAGTAGTGCTACCATTATTATCCGGAATTTATGGCCCCTCGATTTTTCTTGAAATAGCTTTCATTAGCTACTCCGGTTAGCTTTGAACTTGAAAGCAGTTTGAAATTGGATTCATATTAGCTTTTCATTCAGTCAGAAAAGCTTGCAAATCAGAAAAGCTATTAAGCAAAAGCTGCAATGTTATTGTTTACTACGGTTGAACTTGGCTAAATAGCACTGAAATCTGTTGGTTAAAGCATAAACCATAAAGCTTGTGGAAACCACAAGTTGTCTAATTGTAATTATCAGGCCAATGGATTGGTAATTAAATTCAGTTTCTCACAGAACACAACGATGATGAATGAATAAATAAACTAATGAGCGATGTGTCTTTCTTTCGACTCGGGGCAGGGGTCTTAGAGGGTATCAAAAAGGTATCAAAGAGGTATCAAAGTGATAAGGATATGGCCAATTTGGCAGGCGGAGTTTCCCGCCTTAAGACCAACGACTTTCAAATGTCCAGGCACTTGAGGCCAGATAGCCAGCTCCACTCGATGACATTTATGATAGGGCCTGGGGTCTAGATAGGGGTTGATGGGGGTTGGACCGGACTGGTTTGGCCGTCAAGTACTTAGTGGAAGCCAACATTGATGTCACAACAAACTTAGACAAGGCCCAGTCACTCGGCCACCTTGTGTTTGCAGATGGGACAGGTGATAAGCCAGCCTTTTGGCCGACTTTTAACTCTGAATGAACGCACAAAATATAGTATATATATTTATTTAAATTAACTACAACCTATCATAGATTTATTTATGTTATGTTCTATAGTTTTTGCCATAGTTTAACTGGTATCTATTGACTTTATAACCTTCCGCTGTGATTTGTGACCCAACTGGCGAGATGTCAGCCTCGGCATCTCGTTTTCTATTTTCTATTTATTTATTATTTTTTTTTTTGAGTCTGGCGCCATGGCGCCTGCCTTGCCAATTTGAATATCTAGCGAAATTATTTAAATATACAATTACAAATAAACCAAAAAAACTGTTTATTTTGAGCGCACTTTTTGTGTGTAATTTATGCTCAGACGGAAGACCCCGTTCTGGTTTTGTATCAAGTGCTAATGAAAATTTGCATGCCAGCCGCCAGACGATAATTAAACGCAGCTTTAAATTAAGATTTATCAGTGATAAATATGAGTACTTGATATGTACTATATATAACCCTAAAGTCTGGATTGATTTCCCCCTTGAATCGATTTTTTTTGTTTAAAACTTAAGTCAAAGCAGGAACATAATAGGAAATATGCGAGATTTATGTTTTCGCCATATACGCCACCGACTCTAATTGTTCAAAGAATCGTAACTCGCTATCTAGAATCTCTAGCCGATGTTTGCTGTTGTTTTACTTTTTAGTTGCTGTTTTTTAGTCGCAATAGTTGCTCATTAGCCGACAGAACTAAACTGGATTCGCGTCAGACTGCCTGTCGAGAGTATGGGAGCACTCTTTGTGATCTGTTTTGTATTTTATTATATTTTTTTTGTATATTTTTCCCACCCAAACAAATGTGTGTAAATCGGATAATGAGTGCTCCAATATTTGCATACGAACTTTGATGATTTATTTAGCTTCCTGTCTGTCTGAGCTTTGATTATCCCCATTTTCCTTTGCTTTTCGGATATCTTTATAGTCTACATTCGCTTTAGTGACTAAGCCAAGTGTATATTCATTTAAGAACCAAGAAAACACTTGTGACAGGCAAAAAACAAGACCAAAAACAAAGTGAAACAAATAATCATAATAAACAAAAGTTAGAGTCATAGCCACTTAAGATTTAATCACATTTGGCTGAAATTAGCAGCTTGCCAGCACTTGAACATTAATTGTTAAAACGTAATCAAACAGCACTTGAGGTTTTGGAAAACTTTTGCTTAATAATAAATTATGTTTGATTTTTAAGGGTATAATTGATATAAATATATAATTTTTTACAAAATTTTAGAGTTTATATTTTAGCTCTAGATTTTAAGAGAATTTTTTCTATTTGAAGCATTAATTTTAAAAATTTTAAAAGGAACGGGAAAAGAATGAAATATGGTCTTGCTTTTATATCTAAACTATCAATTTTAAATGGATATATATTTATTATTTTTAGGTCTTATTTAAAGCTATAAATTTAAACAAAATTCACAAATATAATACTTTATATTATTACTATTTTATAGTTATTGTTACTTAACTTCTTCTAGTTTAAAAAATGTGATTTCTAAGCCTCTGTTAAAATATCTTACGTTTCCTCTTTTGAAATTTGTACCTTAACAATTAGTTTTCCCACTTAATAGTCTTAATTATTTAATATTTTCTTTTTTAATGTATTTTTCTCCTTACTATCTTAAATGTTTATATATTTTTAGGTCCTAATAGTTTGCTAATCGGTAATTAACTAAATCCCAGAATACACAAACCCCTTTTTTCATACATCCCAAATTAAAAATACATTTTACTGTTCATTTCCAAACTCGTTTTATAAAATATTCATTAAATTTCAGCTGCCTCTAAATTTGAAAGAGAATGAGTTTTGTTTGGAGACCCCAATTAAGATTTTTATTTTATAGAGAGAGCCTACAAAAAAAGTTAACCCATAATATCACATTTCTAATGCGTTTTCTAAACTATTTTCGTAATGTATTCCCTGGTTTTTGTTGTGTTTATCAGCCGCTCCACTCAACGCCACTGACAATGGTTACTTAAGACCCGATCTATTGGGGTTATCTAACCACTTACGTTGGCCCACGGCCTCATCCTCCTTTTTGGAATTCTTGGTGTTCATGTCCATGGAACCGTTGCTACCGCCACAGCACATAAGCTTCATGATGATGATGTTTAAGGGTTTTTTTAACTACTTTAACTTTAAATTTAATTTATTTACTATATAGAAAAAATACTCTATATATTATATATTGTTCTGGCACTGCGCGTTCTTAATGCGGCGTGGTAATTGATTGTTGGCCAGCGATCGAGGCAAATGTCACCATATTCACAACTGTTGTAATTGCTTTCGTTACTGCCCGATTTTGGCCGGTATGTACTATATATAATATAATGACTATTTGGAGTGGTTGTAGTAACGCTCTCGCCGCCGTTGCGTTTGGAAACCGACTGAACGCTGAGTCGGCGCGGGGACTCCATTTATACGCTGCGCTCGATCGCCGGATCGATCCGATCGCTCGGCGCTTGCCAGCAGCAGCGCGGCCCACTTAAACACGCTCCGGTGCGGCTCCAAATACGTCACACGGACGGAGCTCTCCACTCCAGAAGTCATCACAATCCATTCCGATTTCGATTCCGGACACGGCAGGGAGAAATTCCCCAGACCACAAAGCCCCGAGACTAGACCACTTGCCCGGTTCGTGGACAGCCCGTGGTGGGCTGGGGTGGGCGTAGTCGCTGGCGGAGATATCCGTAAAATCGAATCTTATCGGAGTCATCTTTAGATTACCCGACTTGTCAGGGTCTCCTGTAGTACATACTATGTATACATGGAGCACACACGGCGAGTGTAAGACCCGTTCAAGTGGGGCGGACCTCGCACCCAATCAAAGGAGGCTCATATGATGCTCTTGACATAATGATATATTTTGTGGTATCAATCCCGAGGGCGTTGGATTCAAAAAGCATGCACTAGAGATGGCACTGAAGATGGTCTGTCGGTAGCAGATCGATAACTAAAGGAAAATTTATTTAAATAGGTTAACTCAATGGGATGTGGTATGATTTGATACATTTATTAATTTATGATGAATTTATTAATTTTGTATCACTTGACAATAAGAAAGAAATATATCGAATTTATCGATACATATTTTAATACAAAAAATGACCAAGTTTTTATATAACAAATATTAAGCAAGAAAATAAAGTATATATCAAAGATTTAAAGATTTCGAAATTGGAATTAATATATCGAGAATTCTACGATAATTCCAAAAGTCTCTCTTTTATCGATAACTTTCATAGCAGCTCTTCCATCCTTTATACCCACCCCTAGCAGGTGTCAAATTGATACCTACGATCCCGAGAGCGATACAAAATCAGACGAAAACCCCGTAAAACCAACGAAATGGGCCAGTGGAAAATTTATGGCCCGTTGGGGGTCTTGACTTCTCCGAATGAATGAAACTTTTTTGGTAAACACAACGCAGAGATTGAATTATTGGCCGACAAGGGAAACCCCGAACCGAAACGCAAAATATATACACAAAAAATGACAAAAAAAAAAAGAGCGTAGAATGGCGTAGCTAACAAACTGGTTAAGTGATCACTTGCCGCACTCGTGGATGCCACGGAACTTGAAGCTACAAAACTATGGGGCTTCAGAAATTCCCGGTACTCCCTCTAAGTGAAGTGCTCTTGACATTAGGGCACTTTCACTTTCACCTGTCTAATAAGAATTGTTCCCAGTTACCTCACAGGTTAGCTAGCCACCTGTGAGCTTTTCCCTGGCGAGATTAAAAAATTCTTAGTTATGCATAGTTCATGCCTGGCTGCCCTAATGGAATTCGGTTCGCTCTCTGTGATTGTATTCTCGTCTCGTATTGTTTTTTTAGACAATAACTGGAATTTCTTGCAATTACAGTGCGACACGTAGATACTTATAAACGTCTATATATATATATATCTCTGATCTCTTAGCTGAAGCCGAATTTATGGCCCCCGCAAATGAAAGTTCGATCTAATTTTATGGTGCGTCAGCATGGCAAACAAGTATGTCTTAGATACGGAGTATCTCAAGCCAAGTATCTGAAAGATAATTTGGGCACACGTCCGTATCATGTCTGTCTCCTGTTGAAATTGAAAAGAAAACAAACTGATTATCTCTCTCTGCAGACGCTAAAAAATGGGGTTCGAGGAGCGTGCTCCAGAATCGGTGTGCTAAGTGCCAATAAATTGCAGTGTAAAATCTATAAAAAAATCGGTGCCAGGCGGGGGGTGGTCAAATCTCTCATCTTAATCTCTAATCCAGTTGTCATGATGCCGCTATTTGATTTTTTAACATCCCAAACAAACGACTTGCAAGTCAATGAGAGAGGGAAAATAACTTAAAAGATGAGTTGACTAATGGTCTGGTCACGACACAATCACGCATTGTTTAGGTTTTAGCAGACAACAAGAAATTAGGTATTATTTTTGGGTGGAATACCCTACGGGTCTTGAAGCTTTAGTAAAAGATTTTAGCTTCTTAAGAAATTGATTTAAAAGGATAAATTATTAAGGATTTTTCCTGTGAAGTCCATGTTTTTATTTTTATAATTCAGCATCAAATTCTACAAAATTAAATTACTTTCTTCTCTCCCTTCTAAATATTTTTATTTTCGGCTATTAAAAACCTGGATTAGAGACCTTTTTTAAGGGAAAATACATAAATTAAATCGTACCTAAGTAATTACACGTCTAGATACTTTTTTTCTCCCATTTTATCTGCCAGATTTTTCAAGTTTACACCGGCTTAAAACCATTTTCATTAACTGATTAAACAATAGTTTTATTTGCTGTCATAAAAAACACTTAAAATGCTGACATAACTGCAGCTTTAAATGCATTTTTAAGCTGTTTTATATATTTTCCTCTTAATGTTTATTTCAACTGATATAAATCTGTGTCTACGGTACCGAATTAATTGTGTTACCAAAACCGAATGTGTTTTTTTTTCAGACCGATCTCGTGCTAGGCACTAAAGGTTCCCCCAAAAACAAACTCACCTGTTAATGGATCAATCAAGTGACTAAAATAACTTCTATGTTCAGTTTGCAAATCGATTATAATTATTGATTTATGCAAATGGAAAAGGTCTGTGTCATGAGCAGCAACAGTAAATCTTCCGCTGTCGGATGACGAGGCATTTTCCCATTTTCCAACCTAAATAAAGATCACCTAAAACAAATCACGCTATGCTCTATGGCTTGTAAAATCTGTATTTTAGCTGGGTTTTTGTTTCAGGTCCAAAGGGGGGCTAGAGAATTGGTGCAAAAATAATTGTCAGTCAATGCAATTACACATCCTCAGTGGGGTTTTGATAGCGACGAGAGGGGTTTGTCAGTAATTACATTCCGTTACACATTTTTTGCAGTCCAAATTAATAGGTGTAAATGAATTACAGATCCGCCAGAGGTTAGTATATAGTAGGTATATAGATTTTATAAAGATTTTAGATGTGAATTGTATTAGTTCCCCTTTTAAAAATGCCTAGAAACCTAGTTTAAACATTTGAAAAATATTTATATGAAATAAATAATAACTTTAGAAAGCCGAACTACTTAAACTACAAACTTAAGCTTAAATAAAATATTTTAAACTTAAAATTTATACTAAAATCCCTTAAATTATCCCTCAAGAAAACGTATTAACCCACAGCACTGTTGCACAACCACCAGAGAAGTGCGATTCTGAAGCTCTTAATATGCAAAACGTGCTGTTCTGTTTGAACTTGGCCACAGACAAGTTGGCCCGGCGGCACCGGCTGAGTCAAGTTAAGTTCCTCAATACTTTAGTGTTTAGTGTGTGTTTACACCCCCTCCTCTACCGGGTGTCACATGGAAATTCAAGTTCAAGTGTCTGCCGCTCAATGGAAATCGATCGAACTCCCGCTAAATTGGCAAACTTCATGGTAACTAAGCTTAAACGTTAAGTACAGTGTATAGTGTACTGTTTGGCTTTTTTGAGCGGGCCGTTGCGCATGTTAATTGCCACCTGATAGCCGATTTTGGCCGGCGATTAATGGGCACCAATGACATTGAATGGGTACTTCCACCCCCACACATCCCATTGGGTAAGTAATCCCCCTTTTGTAGACTCTATAGAATCCAGAGTCTAGAACTTTGGTATTCAGATAATGATCAGTTGCGGTTTTATCAACCAAACTCATTACACAGGGAGAGAAATATTGTTTACAGGCTTTATATATTTATAGGGTTCTGTTCTGTGAAATTTAGTAGACTTTATAAAGTTTTTTATGATTTAAGGTTAAATGAAGGGGTTAATTAAAATTTAGTATAATACATATCTAATTTTTCTACCTTAAATGATAATTTATTCCTGAAAAAACCCTTCACTTCTTCTCTCTCTGTATCAGCTTTATATGCAGATTTCCAGGGGAATTTCTGGCAACGCAAAAGCCTTAAGTAACGTCACTGTCATATAATTTGAAAGGCAATTTATTAAACCCATATCCACTACAATTGAGTCTACGTTGTCTTAGGCCCATTGGCACCTGGCAGACGTCACAGCCAGGAGAAGATTTCACAGCCAATATATGGGGCACTCACTCACTTGGAACTCGTTAACATCTCAACGCGATGTGAGGTGGCAGATACGTCAGCTGGCAATCCTCAATTTCGGCTTTTAGCGCAGCTAATTCAAGGAATTTTCCGCGCCAGCGCCACTTGACATAGCAAAGTCATTGCCGTCTTTCACATCCCTTATCTAATCGAAGCGCCCCGAAATTAATTACAAATCCATCAGTTGCCGATTTGGACGACAAGCGCCATAAACACCACCCGGCCATAAGCCCTAATCGGCCACTTCCGTAGTATCACAAGGAGGAGCTGTAGGAGGAGGGGGCTTACCAATAAATACAAAATATAATTCCAAAATCAGTTTGTCAAAACATTAAGAGAGACCCTGTGACGGCGGCGATAAGGTGAAATGGTGGCAGGCATAAATAACAAATCTCCGCTAGATCTAAATTCCTTTCCGCTCCAGCACACTGGAGCTATGCCCTGCAAATTGCAATTGTCACAATTTTGCTAAGCTGGAAAAAATACAGCAAGTCTAACTAATTGTAAGTGCTGGCTAAAAAAAAAAAACCCAGACAGAGTTTCATCATAAGCTTTTGTTTGTTTATTTTTAGTTCGTAGTTGCTAATAGTAATTGGTGAATAAATTGATTCATAATTTGGGTTATTTGAATTTTGATGTGAATTTAAAACTTAAAATGAGCGCATTTAAGTGGTGGATTCCACACATTCCTGGGCATTATTTCTAATTTCTAATTTTAAATAAGAGCTAAACATTTAGAAAATGTTGTAATTAAGATGAGTAAAACTTAATATCTAAAATGTCTTAGTCCTTTAATATTCATATTTTAATTTTAAATATATTTATTATAATATTTTTTTACTTTTACAGTTTTAGTTTTTAATTTTCCATTTATAAGATTTAAAAAATATTGTCTCTGGAACATTTTAAAAACGACAGTAAATTCAAAAAGCGCGCACACTTTCTCTTAATAATCGATAGCACCTTTCTAAAATCACACAAAAAAGGTATGGCAACGCCAAAAGTCTTGAGAAATCTTAGTGTGACCGGAATATTATAGCCGCTTAAAAAAATTAATATTATAAGTAATTGGTTTAATATAATCAATGGTTTTTGACATCCTAGGGGGACTATTTTAAACAATTGAACTAAATATATATTTAGATTTTAGGGAAACACTTTGATTTTTTAGGGACAACTTGTTGAGATTTTTTAGATGAAAGCCAAATTCGCATCTGGCCACACTGTGCTCTAATCAGAACGTGCTGTTTCCCAATTTTTAACAAGTAATAATCATTATTTTAATAAAATTACAAGCAGTGTGCCTTGTCTTAAACAATTGACATTTCCTATATTAACGTTAAATTCCTCGCTTTAGAACACAAACAAAATGGCGCAGAGCAAGCTGAACGATCTCGCTGGCAAGCTGGGCAAAGGTGGACCGCCGGGACTGGGAATTGGACTGAAGGTCCTGGCCGCCGTTGGAGCTGCTGCCTATGGTGTTAGCCAGTCCCTGTACACAGGTAAGAATATGGCCAAGTTCTATATAGTAACTGATTTCTAGGGAAACAAGTAAGAAACATGGAAACTGTAGCGGCATGTTTACATAACCTCAAATGGTTTCAGGGTTTCCAATGGAAGTGTGTGTGTATTTTGCCGGATTTCATAACTAACAATTGAGTTTACACAATGTTTATAAGGATTTATGAGGTTTAAGTACTACATAAGGGTATTATTTGAGTTAAACTTTCTTGGGGAAACTTTTTTTTAGTCAGGAATTAGATATATATTCTGTGTTCTCATATTTTGATGGTTGCATAACAACAAACTCCATTTATGTCAGATGAATCTCTTTGTTAGGGTGGGTCCAAGTCAAAAAATACTTAATACTCTTTGAAATTAATAAATTTATTAAGAAAAAAGTCATGCCTAAAGGTTTTTCTTACGTTTATAATCAATGTTTTTATTTAAGTTTCTTAAAAACATGATTTTGCTTGAAGGAAGACAAACATGTAAACATTAAAATCATCAAAACCATTAATATTTAATAGAAAAATCCACAGAAACCTAAAATAAACCTTGCCTAATTAAATTATAATTTAAAATTAAGAAAACCCTTTAATTTATCATCAATTTTAATCCCTTTCTACCCCCTTCCAGTCGATGGCGGTCATCGAGCCATCATCTTTAGCCGCCTGGGCGGCATCCAGAACGACATTTACTCCGAAGGCCTCCATGTGCGCATTCCCTGGTTCCAGTATCCCATTATCTATGACATTCGCTCGCGTCCCCGCAAGATTTCCTCGCCCACCGGCTCCAAGGATCTGCAAATGATTAATATTTCGCTGCGTGTGCTCTCGCGTCCGGATTCCCTGAACCTGCCCTTCCTGCACAAGCAGCTGGGCGTGGACTATGATGAGAAGGTGCTGCCCTCCATTTGCAATGAAGTGCTGAAGAGTGTGATTGCCAAGTTCAATGCCTCGCAGCTGATTACCCAGCGTCAACAGGTGGGTTTTGACCTTGTTTATCAAATAAAACAGAAATTAAATTGAATTTCAATGTTTTGAATAGGTCTCCCTGCTGATCCGCAAGGAACTGGTGGAGCGTGCCCGCGATTTTAACATTATTTTGGATGATGTGTCCCTCACCGAGCTGAGCTTTGGCAAGGAATACACGGCCGCCATTGAGGCCAAACAGGTGGCCCAGCAGGAGGCCCAAAGGGCTGTGTTCTTTGTGGAGCGGGCCAAGCAGGAGAAGCAGCAGAAGATTGTCCAGGCCGAGGGAGAAGCTGAGGCTGCAAAAATGATATCCTTTTACAAAAAACTCAAACGAGAAATCTACCTTAAAAGCCAAGAGAGGCTGGTATTCAGTACAAACTATTGATTGCCAGCTTCTTTTTTGTTTTAGAGATAAAAACTAACTTTTATACCCCTTTATTGCCCTCCAAATGGTTCTCCTTAACTGATATGTTCACTTAGGTCTGGCCGTAAAGCAGAACCCAGCCTACCTCAAGCTGCGCAAGCTGCGTGCCGCTCAAAGCATTGCCCGAACGGTAAGCTAAGGCTTTTTCCTAACTATATTTCAACCCTAAATAATGTATTTTTCTAATCGCAACAGATTGCCAGCTCACAGAACAAGGTCTACCTGTCGGCGGATAGCTTGATGTTGAACATCCAGGACTCTGGCTTCGATGACATGACCGAGAAGGTTTACAAAAGTAAATAGCTCTCTTTTTGATCCACCAAAAACAAACAAAAGAGTTTACTTTTTAAGTTGAAAAACAAACAAAAAACACACAAAACACTTGTGCTTTTGGTTCCAAAACATTTAATTGGCCCAAAACCTTAGACCTTAGACTTAATAACTGAGTTACTTCTAACGCGTTCTCCGTACTCTCCCTCTCTCTTTTTGCTACCAAATTCTTTGGTGGATTCTCTGTTAACGTTTCTCCATATATTCCCGCTTTCGCTGTAGCCGAAGACTTGGACTAGGAGGATCCACATTCGTTGTTAATTAATTTGTAAATTTAAAATCTTTTCGAGCTAGAGCCTAAGTACCGTTTAGTTGTAACCACTTGAAAGCGGCGCTACGCGTCGGCTTATCCTTAAGTGTTCTTGATGCTCTGAGGACAGCTTCATCCCACATTCGTTTTCCGGGCACCAAGAGCATCGTTTCCGTTGTGAACCGATGAGCCGACGCGGGCAAAAAACCAGCATTTAACTTGTCCCCATTATCCATTATCTTCATCGGGAGAGAGTCGCGTGAGACGGAAACTGATAATAAATGCGTACTGAACACTGTCCATCGATCGTCGTTGTGTTGAATGTGGGTTTTCCAGCTCATCGTGAAGCAACGAAGCGCCAGCGACTTCCTCGCCTCCCTTCACTAATCCATCATCTATATTCCCCAACCAAATCTCTTACAGTTGGCACCGGGCTGCCCAAGAACTGGCTGAATGCGAAGAAAATGGTGGAACAGTCGGAGGACAAGAGCGATAATGTGGGCAATGTGGCCAATAACCTGGCCAAGAAGATGCTGTGACCGGGCCCACCGAAGATCCAAATACTAAAAGAGAGGGAGGACGTGGGACTACGAAACACACTGACTTATCGTTTTAATAATTGCGTGTACAAAATACATAAGAATAGTACATAAGAGTGTATATAGTATATATAATTCGAGTGTATATAGAGGTTTATTTATGTAAATTGTAGGCAGATTAGGTTCGGTTGCTCCTCCTCCTCCTTCTCCTCCAAGGAGGCATTCCCATGTCGGGTGTGTACGTGGTGTGGCGTGAGAGAGCGAGATCCTGACTAGAGACACGAGTGTGTGCTTCCTCTCCGTCGTATAACTATATTAATATTCCTATATCTATTCCATAACGAACTCGAACAATCAAATTCCTGCATTAGGCGCGTGGGGTTAGCTTTTTTGTATTTTTAAGTGTTATCTTTGTAAGGTTGCTTAGAAGCGACGCGACATGGACCAGGATCAGGCCGTCGCCGGTGGCTTAACTCCTCCGCCTCCTCCAGCGGATGCTCCACTGCTGCTGCCGCTCTCGCTGCCACTGCTGCTGGCATTGCTATTGGCCCGGCGGCTCTCGGCTAAGCCTGGCGTGTCCCTGCGATGACGACGCAAGGTGGAGCTAGCCGAGGGCGCCGAGCTACTCAAAGCTATATTGGCCGTGAAGGCAGCTGCCTCTGCTCGACTGGGCACTGTCAGGGTTCCACCCACTCCTGTTGAAGGCGGCAAAACTACTGTTCCAGCTCCTGCTGAGCCATTGCTAGCGCCGCTCGCTGCAGCTGCGGCGAAGGACTCGGTTATGCTGGCCAAGGGTCATAAGTTCGTCGTCTGGACCAGTCCGCGCTCAAGGTGGAAGCACTCCAGCACGGCAGCTCCCACAGAGCTGCGCCGGGCCACCATGGCATTGACCACGCTCCACTTGTTCAGGCGGGGATCGTAGCGTTCCACAGAGTTGAGCGAGGAGCTGCCATCGTTGCCGCCCAGGGCGAACAGGGCGCCCTCTACCTCGACCACTTCGTGGGTGGATCTGGAAAAGAAAACAATGAATCACATAAATTATTTATAAACCAATTAAATACCCACCTCCTTGAATGCATGGCTGTGATGGGTTCCCAGCTGTTCCTGCGCAGGTTAAACCTCTCTCCACTAGACATGCACATGGTTCCATCATTGCCGCCAATGCAGTACAGATGCCCATCCGTGGAGGCAACACCACAGCTGCTCCTCCTGGCCGACATGCTGGGCACTGGCTGCCAGCGACCCACTCGAGGATCAAAGCGCTCCACACTCGACTGATAGTTGGTGGAATCGAACCCACCCAGGCTGTAGATGCAGTTCTCCAACACAGCCAAACGACAGTACCTTCTCCTTGTACTCATTGCCGGGCAAGAGCTCCAAATCCCAGTAAGCGGATCATATCTCTCCATGCTACTCAAACAAGAGGCGCCATCGTAGCCACCACACACATAGATCAAAGCATCGTAGGAGCAAATGCCCAAACAGCTGCGCTTGGTGCCCATCGGGGTGATGTTGCTCCACTTGTTCGTCAGCGGATTGTAGCTCTCCGCCGTGGCCAGATCACTGACGCCATCATAGCCTCCAACAACATAGAGTTGCTTGTGCAGGGCCGTGACTCCAGAACGAGAGCGTCGCCAGAGCATGGGAGCCACGGGACTCCAGCAGTTGGTGCGTGGGTTGTAGACCTCGCACTCGTTGTGGATGGCAAAGAGACTGCCACCGCCCACGGCGAACACATATGGCTTCATGCCCTCGGGACGACGCTCTTGGGTTCGTTGGCTACCCATTAAGCTGCGCTGCTCCGGCAGCAGGTGGTACTTCATGGCCTCCAGCAGCAGCTCCTTGCACTCGGAGTCATCTCGCATCAAAGTCTCCGTTTCCACGCAGCTCATAAGGAAATCCCGGCTCACCAGAGGAAGCCTCACATTGGACATGAGCTCGGCAATGTGAAGTCTCCTCGAGGGCAAATCATGCTTCACCCAGTTAATGACGGCCCCAAAGACACGCTCTTCAGAGCTGATGTTCAGCTGGCTGTTGGATATCAGCTCTCTGACCTCCTCAAAGGGCAGCAGGAGGAACTCCTCGGTGCCCACCACCTGCTGGAAGTTCTGCAGAGCATACTTGTGGCTTCTTGTGTGCAGTTCCTTGCAGGAGTGTGCATCTGCAAAGCTGCGAATGCCCAGGCAGTTGGAGGGATGCAGCTGACGGAGCAGGAACTTGCAGCAGGCATCCCGCACAGAGTGCATCTGCAGCAGGCCGGAGGCAGGGAGCAGGACCTGGACATTCTGCTCCGTGATTGTGATCTCACCAGTGTATGTGTAATCGATCAGTTGCCGCAGAGCAGAGCTATCCACGTCATGGAGCCGGACCAGGCCCTGTGTGCGCTCCAGCATGTCATCTAATAGAATGGTTGGATGAGTTTTGGGATTAGTTTTCAGTTGGTTTAAGAGGGTTTTAGTTACGGAAATTGATCTAAATCAATTCTTAAACCCTTCTTAAAAATCTTTAAGTGTATTTTCAAGTCAATGTAAGCTCTTAAATACACTCTATTTCCTCCTAATCCCTTCCCATCCCTTCCCTGCTCTACTCACCATTGAACATTGCATAGAAATAGGGCGACACGGAGGCCAGGACCACACGATGAGCATTGATGGTGTCGCCGCCCACCTCCAGGCGAACATCGCAGAGCTGGGAGAAGAGAAGAAATACCAGAGAAAAGCTGTTGAGACAGAGTTAGGAAGGAGTCGTGTTGGGGGTCCCTTTACAAATCCGATTAATGCCCGGCTACGTGCTCAATTTGCACCACTACACCCTGAGAATCCTTACAAGCGAGTCCTTCCCTTCTATCAATAACTTTTGACAGGCAAGCCGGTTTATTGACCTCTCCAAAGGAGGCAGTTTTTAATAGCAAAATGTCGCTTACATCATGGCTTCGGTACGGGTTCTGCTTAAGGCTAAGTCATCCGTCTAACCGATGATATATATTTCACCCGCTGGGCGTCTAAAGCGGCAATTTGCTCTAATAGCCAGCCGCCTTCTCACCCAGCTGAACTCTGGCGAGGAGGAGGCATAGCAATTAATGTTTGCCGACTGCCCAAAAACGAAACCGAAAGAAATTATGTATGCGCCATGTGGACCTGTGACGACCTCAATCACGCGCCCATTCTAATAAATAAATACTTTTAATTATGTTCACGCCTAATGCAATTAGTGTGAAAATATATCAAGATATGGCAATTGAGTGGAAGACGGTGAAGAATTATATGGCTGTAGATTTTTCTAGTAAGTTTAACTTTTTGACAACCAAAAGTTGGCTAATTTTAATCGATGAAATGGCTTTGAACCTGACCCTAAGTTGCTTTGAATTTGATTAATTAGGCTTTCAGTTGGACAGATAAATTTTGTATTTAAATAGATAAGAAATATAAATTAATTTAAAATAACTTCTAAGGTGTCTTTCTCTTCCATATTAAGCTCCTTCTCCATCTTTTTAATCTACAAAAAGTATTTATTTCCCCTAGAGAAACCCGTAGAGATTTTTCCCCTCCTCTCACCTGAGCATTATTCCTCATCTGGTTAATGGCTGCAAAGGAGGCAATGCAGTGGCCTGGATTCTGATGATGGGCCTGGGGCAGAACCTCCTCGTTGGGTCCCGGTGGGCTCAAATCGCTGGGCGTCTGTGTAGAGTTATTGCTGGTGGTGGTGACATCCTCATTGTTGCCACTCGCCTCGCCACCAGAGCTGCAATGAGAATTCGACAAGCTAGGGTGAGAATCGCAAAACCAAAAACCCAAAACCATGACATGAAATCAAGTTTTGTAAACATAATGATAATGGCGGCGCGACAACGTGTCGGCAAAAACAGAAACAGGAACTGGCATCCACTACACCCCCCAAACACAAAAATCCGGGGGTTGTTTATGCTACGTGTTCTTGTTTATGGTTTTATGTTGTAGGAATTTTCTCTCTGTTTTTTCGGGGGTAGAATGGTGGAGCCGTAGACGTGGAGCATCAAGTCGCCACTCGAATTAAGCTTGGTGCACGGAGAGAATTTTGTTCTTGACGATTTTTAATTAATAGAAAGATTTTTAAAATTGTAGTTTGAACTTTAAAGTTATTTAAAGAAGATCTTAGAACCTTAGTTTAATTTTCTTAGTTGGACTTATTTTTTGTGTCTAAGGTGGGTTTAATTTTTTACTGCATACTTTTGGACACATTTTAAAAGAGATTTTAAACCTCTAAGCATAATCAAAGTGCTCTCTTTTGAATTAAATTTAATTAAATGAAAATTTGTAGACACTTTCTCAAAGGATTATTTATCTCTAAGCCTCTTAAAAGTGCTTTTTATCTTATTAAATTAAAATAATTTTTTACAACAAACTTTTAGATGCCTGCTAAAGAGATTTCAAATCTCTAAAATTGGTCTTTTCCTAACAAATTTATTTTAATTTAATTTCACACTCTGTACTCACTGATTTGATTTCACGGGCAGAAACATTGCGACTTGGTCTGGTGCTGTCCTGTGTGTTTTTATGTTTATAATGGGAGTTTATTTCTGGCTCTCTCTTATCGCAATGCTGCAGCCTGCTGTTGCTCCTAAAACATTTCCTGGCTTTGGTCCTTGGTTGATGCTTGATGTTCGACGTTGATGTCTTCAGTTCGGTTCAGTCTTTTCATTGGCAGTTCCAGCGCTCCAACTTCGGCTGGAATGAGAGCCAAAAATCAATACCTGGGACAATTGTTGTGGACGCCACCCGCCTAGCAGAGAATAGCACCGAATTTAGGTCACATGGATATATATCCCTGGTGGGTTCGTTTGACATGATATCATTCCGGCTTCTCTTCTTGCTTTCTTTTTTTTTTTTTGTTGTATTTTTTTGGCATGTCAAAGTGAAGGAAGCATCTGAATGAAACTAAAAACTGGGTTAAGTGCCAGCCACGTTCTCCTCCGCCTCCTTGAAAGCTTTAACCATTGTTCTGGCCACATCCAAGCATTGTTGATGTCAGGATGCGGAGTGGCTGAGTGCTTGAAGGACCGCAGGAAATGGGGCAGGATGTGGCCCCGCCAAATTGCTTGTCGCATGCAACTTGCGCATTTTGCCAGCGATTTGGTTAAGCTGACAAACAAGTTAAACAAATGAGCAAGTAAGAAAGTAACAGAGAGAGCAGGAGACTGCTCGAATTTTAAATACCCTGTTAAGTTAAGATTTGTTTAGAGAATTTAGAGAAAATTTGAAAAAGAAAATTAAATTACGTATGAAAACTTCGGCTTCCTAAAGTCAGCTTCCCTTCATGTTTCTTCACTTAAAAATTAATATTTTGAGGATCAACTCCCTTTAAATTATTCTTTACAATTTATGTGACGCTCTTAATGATTTTTTTAATACAAAAAATTTATCATTAAAAGATCAACTAACTTTACAAGTACATAAATAACACCGAATCGATTGTTGCATATAAAATAAGCATTATTTTTCCAGACTTAACCCAAGCTTTCATCATAACACGCTTGGAAAGTTCTCTCTCACTCACTTTGGGGTCAATAAAACGTGTCTCTGGCAGCACATGTTTCTGAATTTAACGTCACGAATTTATAGCTGCATTAACAAAAACAAGGCAGCCACAAAAGTAGAAATAAAAAACAAAAGGCAGAGTGCCGCTTAAAACATACAAAATTTCACTTTGCGCACAACGCACACGAATTAACGACAATTTCGGTTTGTGTTTTTAGTTTTTCCTTTTTTTTTTTTAGTCAGTCAGCCAGCCATTGGTAGCCAACCTGCCATGCTTGAGGGCGCAATTGTGTTGGAGGGCAATGTCCGGCAGCACCACCCACCCCTAGAAAAGCCTACCTCCCTCCGGTCAAAGAAGCCCCATTAGGCTAAATGTTTACTGCCCTGCCAAATCAAAAGCAGGCCAGCCAGCCAGCCAGCAGTTGCCATCGTGGGACAGCAGCCCTCGATTTGCCTGGTGCATTTGCCAGTTTCCCCTATTTCTTATTATTTTTTGTTTTCTGCTCTTTGCGGGGTCAGCAGTCGTCACACAGGGCGTATGAGTAATTAAAGGCAGCCAGCCAGGGTCAGAGCAGAATAATGCGTTGCGTTGTGCGGTTGCCTCCAAGTAACTAACACTTTGTCGGAGCAACGCAGCTAACGGGTTTTTTTGTGGTGCGGCAACAACAATTAAATTATGCTAATAGTGAACTTAATTCGCATTTTAGTTGAGCTCACTGAGGCACAGAGAAAAAAGGGTTAGAGAATGAGAGTTTAGAATTATGTATTCTAGTTTTTTGTAGTTAGAATTATTATTACAAAATTATTTTTAAAAATTCTAATAAGATCTAGCAATAGTTAGGAAGCAAGATTGATATATCAAGAGCCAAAGCTCATCTATCACTTGCCTTTCACTATAATTCCCAACCCTTTCTAGTTCTCTTAAATTTCTGAAATTTTGTTTATAAAAAAAGCTCTTAAAATCAAGAATTTTTCTACACAAAAATAAGTAAATAAGACAATAAAATATAAGATTTTACTATAATATCCAACCTTTTCTAGTTATTTTAAATTTCTAAACATTTTTTCAAAAAAAATTCTTCTAAAGTCAACAATTTTTCTACACAAAAATAGATAAGATATGCAAATTTTCTTGGCGTGCAGTTAAAGGGCAAATACCATGCTTTAGCACACACGCAAAGCCGCAAAAAAACGAAAGGGGGAGTAGAAGGTGGATTCACAGGAAGCGGAAGTGGGCAAGGTGGAGCAGGAAGTGGGCTTCAGCACAAGGTGTAACTCTCGCGCTGACCTTCAGATGTGTGCGATGAGTGGAGAACTCTGACTAAGCCCCAAAGGGTTGGCAGGGGTGACTAAATATAAAGCAAAACTTTACTAAAAATATGATTATCAGAGGCAAAAAAAAACACACAAAATGAGCGGGAGAGAAGCTGGTCCCTAGCAACATCTGCTTGTGGCGACTGTTTGGGTGTGAAATTCAAATTAACAAGCCAGCCGAAATACGAAAAAAATAAAGTTTGCTCCGCACGTAGAGCCCCGAAAAAACCCGACGACCCGAGAGCCCGGCAGTCATTCAGTAATATTTAATGCTTTTTTGGCGACAGAGCAGAACAGAGAGCGGGGAAAACAAAACAAATAAAGAAAAATGAAACAGAAATTGTGCAAACATTGTGGACCGGTTGTAGTTTTTTTTTCGGCCAGAAAGAACACTCGCTGAGCCACCTATGCTGAGACTCTGCCTCCTTTGCCTGCTCCACGTGACTGGGTCCAGCTGAAATCACAAAATAACTATGCAAAAAACTATAGAGAACCTTTGGATATATATGTGTATATATGCTGCTGCACGCTCCATTGATGATTAACCCACTGTTGCTGCAAATGCAATATAATATCTGTGCGCCGCCAAGGTTAACTGCTTTGTCAATTCAGCGGAAATCAACCGTCAGACTCCGAGTTAGTTACAGTGAATAAGATGCAAATTATGCGAGAGGTACAGAAGGGGGATTATTTAGGTGACTGATGAAGCCGAACTTAGGTAGCTGACTTTTGATTTATTTCGCAGAATTATAGGTGACACAGAAATAAACAAAAAGGGGGTTTGAAATGTTATGTTTACTTACTAAATTGGGGTTTTCAAGTGCTATATTATTTATTTAATTCATAAAAATTTTAAAAAAGATAGAGGCAAGGCTAAGAAAACATTAGAGTAACTTAGACAACAATTAAGACAAGTTTCGCCCCCTTGGACACCAATTATTAAGTTAATTAAACAATTAATATGTAAATTAAAAAGCCGGGAAGATTTCTTAAATTAAAAATAAAACTTGTACACTTGTTCAAACTTAATTCCCTTTTTTTTAAAAGGTAGCTAACATTTGCCTTATTTTTTTAAATATTTATAAGCTAGAAAACCCTTACAAAAATGTAATCATTTTAAATTATTTTTTATTTAATTCAAAAAAGTTACTAAAAAAATATACAAAACTATTCCCCTACAGCACGTGTGCCTCTCTAGAATTCATTGAACTCCCCCGCATAATATTTCCCCAAATGTTTAGCACATATTTTGTAGGCTTTTAGCCCCTCCAAGCAAGAGACTCTCGAAGACGCCCAAACCCGAAAAATCAAGTGCCAGTGCGTGCTTGGCAAAGAGATTCCCGCTACCAAATTTGGGATGAGGGTTACATCTGGATGTGGGCCAAGTAAACAATGGAACGAGGTATCACGACGACAAACAACAGAAGCTAGCAATGGGCAGTTATTAATATTTATTATTATTAAGTATACGCCGCGTGAACCAACAGATTGGTATTTGGTATTTGGTATTTGGTAATCCATGTGACTTAATTTAAGGGATGAGGGTTAACGAAAGCAAGTGTTGCCGGCATTTTTGGGGCTTTTTTTTTTGGACGACAGGTCGTCAACCTGCTGGCAGCAGCGCGGGAAATGTGAAAAACAGCCGTTTTTCCCCCAAACGCGCCGGCGCACTGAAGCGCAGAGAATAACTACTCCCTGGGGATGGTAGAAAAAGGGAGTTAGCAGGATGCAACGGCATGTGCACGGGCTTGTGGTTGCTTCTGCTTCTTCTCCCCAAAAAAAAAACCCTGAAGCGCCGCACCTTTTACTCAAAAAAGTTTTAGGCTTTCAGCTCCTTTTCCTTTGGTTTTCCTCTGCGTTTGGTCTTTAATTCCTTTTAATTGCACTTGAATTCTTTTGTGGCTCTCGGTGGAGTCCTGTCCATTGAGGAGTTCACTTTTCACTACGAATTTCAACTGCTGTGAAGCCAATTATTCGGTTGCAACTGCCACACATGAGCTGCTTTGCTAACGACAACTTCGCGGCACGAAAGCTTAAGAGCGACTGAACGAGACTCCGTCCGGTGAGGCCCCAAAAAGTAAAGCTTGGCATGGAGAGGAACGGTTGAGACTTGGAGCACTAGAAAAGCTTAGGGGTTACAGCGACTTTGCTGTGCGCTACCTTGGGGGAGTATACATTTTTTGGGAAATTATTATTAAAGGTTTTTCTTTGGATTTCTTTTTTAAGTTGAGTAAAAGGGGCCTGAAATATATAAGAGTGAAACCTTAAAATAAATAACTAAATCAAATAAATTAATATATTCTCAACCATTTATTAGATATTTTTTAGATAAACCAGCATATAGAATTTAACATTTTACCTATTTAGCTTATTATTTATTAATAATAAGATTATAATGACAAATAAAAATATATATGACGTTTAGCACTCATTCGCTTTCTGAACTGGATTTTATAAAAAAAAATCCTTAAATTTTGAAAATTTTAGGAAAACCCAAGTTTTTCAAATATCATAACTCAGCCAAAGAAGCATTAATTTTAATTTGGAAAGCATTTCTATTCTAGTTTTTAATAGAGTAATAAATGTGCATACTGAATTTAATATTTTAAAAAATTTTAATTTTTGTCAATTTTACACAATTTTAACGATGTAACCCCTTATTAAATTTTGAAACAAAAAATGCAAAAAATTAGTTTTCAACCAGACATGTCTAGATCGACTCAGCTGTTGATGCTGATCAAGAATATATATGGTTTATAGGGTCGAAAATGACTGTTTCACTGCTTTTCAAGCTTCTGAATGAAATTATAATACTCTGCAAAGGTAAAAAATTTAAAAAAAAAAGTAGTTTAACCTTGACAACTCCCCCTGAAAAATCGAAACTAAAATGTAGATGTCACAGAAGTTGACTTCAACTTGTTATTAACGCTTAATTAACAAACTGTTTGTGCTAAAAAGTTTTCTTTTTTATTTAAACGTTGTGCAGACAAAGTCGCCATTGGCCCCTGGCAGACCACCGCCTGACCTTCTGACTTCTGTCTCCCAACTCGGGACTCGAAACCATTAGCACGCCCAGCGTGTGCCGCAAAAGAAGCTGCAAACTCTCTGCCGGCACTCGCTGCACACACAAATCCAATTAGGAGCAGCCACTGGTGGCCAGCTCCTGGCCTAGCTCCTGGCTGGTGGCCACATCGCTTTAAAAGGATAAAAGGCAAGGCTCACAATGGCCAGCGCTAACCACTGACCCAATTATGCTAATACGGTGGCCAAGACTCAAAAGCCTTTGACGTCATGTCAGGCGAAAGTCTGAGAGATGCCGGGAATCCAGGGAATAAAGGATGAACCGGGAGCACGGAGATAGCTTAAATCTGTGAACTGGCAATATCAGTTGGTTGGGAAATTGCGCAATATGACAGGATAATTGCATGAAAGGGTCCTTTGGCACACCTGAGCCTTATTGGCTGGATGGCTGTGTTAGCTGGCGGAATGGAATGGAATCCAAAGCGCCACTTGGACACTCGACTCCCAATTGCCAGTGCTATTTGCCATTTCCGTGCATATTAGAAAAAGCTCAAGTCGCACTTGACAGAAACCAAGCAAAGGTGACACGTCCATCCTGGCTGGTGCGCATGTCCCCAGCGTCCCTTATTAGGATAGGAGGAGTCGTCGTCGTCGTCGTCGGGCAACAGGTGCTCGTCTGCAGGTGAAAACTAAACTAGAAAGAGGAGACCGAATGGATTCCCGTGGAGTTGGGCTGGGTTCGTGACCCTCGAGGTGCTATAAAAGCGCACGGTGCCAGCAACTTGGCCGTTAGTCGACTTGGCGGCCCCTCCGGCGTGCAACTCGATCTCCGCCGTGGGAACTGTTCTCCTTTGAAATTAGCCAGCGTTTGTGTCCAAGTTTCGCCGGAAATGTTTTCAAAATTGGCAACTATTTAGCCCGCGTTGGTGTTTGCGAAGAATGTAACAACATCTCAAGGGAAACCCTTAGATAAACAGCCTCAAGATGTCAGAACTTTTGTTGAGGCGGCGGATTCTGTTGATGGTGTTACTCTGTGCTGGTGAGTTGAAGGGTCTAAATTACAGAAAACTTAAGTACTTAATTAATTTCTAATACAATTTTAATAAATACAAATTTTAAGGTACATTTTAAAGTAAATTTTGTATTAAAAAGAAAGGACATTCTTGCAGTTTTCATTTTTACACAAGAGTTCTATGAAAGCTGAAAGATATAATAGAAGTCTGATTTAAATCTATATATTATCTTTACTATTTTTATCCAATTGAAATAAAACTATTGGCTAAGTTTCAAGTTTATGTAAAACTTGTAAATTGAGAGAATAATTTGTATACAAGGATAGAGTAAATCGGCTGCTGATGCTGATCAGGAACTTAAATTATAAAAACTTTATCAAAAGGTACAAGGATCTCACAGAAAGAAGTTTCATTTTTGGATAAAAGAGGTTTTTTCCCTTCAAAAATGAAATGTCATGAAGATAATAAGAAATCTGTAATTAAATATATTAATTCTGGGCGTTCCTCTTCATTCTTAAATGTTATTTATTTCTTTAAATATGTTTTATTTCAATTTCCGCAAAGCTTAAATTTCAGAAAGGTTAAAACAACCCCTTAAAAAAAAACTATCGCTTTCATTGCTCGACACTTTTGTCAAATTGAAAGTTGACCTTTGATTAGGAGTCGCATTGCGCCTATCACTAATTAAAATCTGTAGGGGCGGGAGCGGAAATTGGATGTCATACCCTTTTTTTTGTGAAAAGCCACCCCCTGTTCGCGACTCCTCGGGGAACCCACAATTAATGGGCCATTCTCCCGATATGTATTCCCAACCGACAGCTCCACTGCGAAACGCACCTTTCGGCGGAGCAGCAGCAACAGCGGCAGCCACCACAACTGGGGACCAGCAGACCCAGACCCAGAGTCGTGACCTCCGAATTCCGGCGGGGTGGCAAAGCGACTGGGAGTTGGATCCGGACTGGGAATCCATGGACAACGGCCCGCCGCCGCCGACGTCACGCGCCTTCGACGATGACCTTTACCCCAACGACAACGGAAATCCCCCCCGACAGCCGAAATCGAGCATCACGGAAATGGACAAGCAATTGTTTGGCAGCTATTTTCCAGCGTATCCGGAATTTTTGGGCCGCCAGTGGCATTTGCAGCAGCTCAAGCAGCTGCAGGTGCAACAGAAGTGGCAATCTCCGCCAGTCAAGGCCAAGCGTACGCCCATACAGTGGCCACCACCGGGCGATGGTGATGAGGAGCAGCAGCAGCCAGAGCCTGGGGAGCCACGTTATCCCTTTGCCTACGCCTACAGCTTGCCCTGGAAGCGCAAGCACCGCTACATGCCATCGATCAGTGCTGGTGGGTATCGGGGACTGCAGGAGGGTCAGAAGGTGCCTTAGTTAGTGCCTCTTCCTTGTTTCTCTAGGAGCCATGACCAATTTGGGTGACTTCTTCAACCGTCTGGAGGCGAATGTGCGCTTCGCGGAGCAATCCCAGCTGGGTGAGTCGGAGACACGGCTGCTGGAGGGCAAGCATCCGCATCCGCTACAACATTTACCAGCAATGCCGCCCGCCGAAGGCTCCGAACCAGATCCCGTCCAGCAGCAGGAGCAGGATCGTAAGACATCCAAGCTGCTCCATGCCCTGCGCAGCTACCGGCCCTCGCAAAAGATACGATCTTTGGTGTCGCGCAATCCGCAGGGCTATCGCTCCCAGCTCATTGATCCCAGCTACATGTGGCTGGGCCTGGGCAAATGACCAAGAGTCCAGGGCCAAGCATCCATCCAGAATGAGCTACTACCAAGGTAGTAACCACAACGAAAGCCACCTCGTGTCCCAGTTTAAGCTTTGAATGTGTGTCCCTTTGTGTGTTTAGAAAATATATATATTTAAAGGCAAGATTTTGGAGCTTTTTTTGAAATATTTATGAAGGTAAGTATACAAAAATATATGAAAATTGCAGAAAAATTCATATAAAATAGATTTTAAAAGTCTGTTTCGATATTATTTTATTTATAGGCACTTTTGAGACTTCCAAGGAAGTTATAGAACCTTATAGAACCTTTTTTATATTTTATTTATAACTGATAAAGGCTCTTGAAATAATTATAATAATAATACAAAGTCCCATTTATATAAGGAACATTTTAATTCATGTCTCATTGGAGCATCATTCCTTTGATTTAAAAGGAACTTATGGATTGTTGGGCAATCCCTCGTAGTTTCTGGCACTGCTCTGCGGTGGGATAAGAGGACGCTGGAGGTCGCTGGTACGCTGAAGCTGCTTGTAGAGCGAATAGATGCCATAGTACAGATACACGCTGAGAGCTAAAAATAATATATTAAATATATATAGAAGAATATTAAGCATAAAACTAGTCATTCCTGCTGTACTCACCAAAGGTTAGCAAAGAGATCAAGATGGAGGGTACGACACTCGACGAGCTGGCCTGCACGAACATTCCAATTTGGGTGATAAGACCAAAGATCAGGGCCACGCCGTTATTGAAAAGCCAGGGTAGCAGGTACAGATGACGTTCCTAAAGTTACGAATTTAATTACAATTTAATTATATATTTTTTTTATCAAAAAGTTAATAACCTCTAGAGCGTATTTTAATCTATAAAATGAGCAATTAATTGCTGTGTTAATTCTAATTTTTTTTATCAGCCATCTATGAATTTTTCTTGCCAACTGATCTGTGATTCATTCTGCCTAACTTATCAGTATCTTGTGCCTTATCTGGACTCGTCGAGTTCAAGGTAAATTGTGTTATAAAGTACATACTTATGATGGGAAACCCTTGTACACCTCTATTTCTTGAAGCAAAAATTACAAGGAAATTGTTTGTTAAGATTTAAGTTCATTAAATACCCTCTACCAAGTCCCTTTGTCGCAGTAGCCAAAAAGTATGCTAATATTTCCCACAACTGATAAAAGTTCTTTGTCTTTTTTCCCCTGGGAGGAATAATAAGCGCCTGATAATCAAACTGTGAGTCATAAAACAAGCGGAACTCTCTGACAATAATTATTTTGACACGCTATCTGGCTACGGGTACTTCCTCCCTGACCCTACCCATCATTCTTACCTTAAGGGTTCCCACAATCAGCATGCCCGAGGACAGGAGGTTGATCAACTGCAGAGCCAGGTAAATGCTCAAAATGATCACCAGGACTGTGGCAAAAGGAGAGCGGTTTAAAACGTGTATATCAAAAATATTTATAAAACCCTTACCAGTGCGCATTTGATCCTCCGTTAGGTTGGTATTCTGGGCCTTGACCATCTCCTGGGCAATTTCATCGACGTTTCCCAAAGCAATAGACGTGAGGATCACGGCCAGAAAGGAGAATATCACGCCGATCCATCCTAGTCCCACACCGTAGGTGGTCAGCCGCATGCCACACACTGAGGTAAGCATTTTCACTGGTTTCCGGGTGATTCCCCTTTTTCACAGAAACAGAAAATAATAACAAGCTGTTGACTTGCCGGGCGGCGCAGAAATGCAATTGTGAAATGGGTCGCACTTATTGTTTATTTTTAGCGATGGAACGTGCTATAGAAAAGTCACGATAAAACACCTAAAAAAGCTCACAAATATTTAATATTTCAACTTGGGTTTGTGTTGCCAGATTGTTGAACTTGAAATAAAAAAGTTTGCCGTTAATTTCAAAATGGAAACAAATTGATATTTAGTAAAAAAGCAAAACATTGGAATTAAATTTTATAAAATATATAATGTACACTTTAAGAGTAATATTAAAATTTGTTTAATTAAATTTTAAAATCTTAAAAAAAAACAAGTGTAAAGGACTTAGTTTTTAATTATTTAGTTACATTTTTTAATATTTTATTTATAGTATATATTCCATGATTTTTTTAAGCCCCATAATTCCTTACATACTGATGCCAGAAGAGCATTAAATCTTTCAAAACCTAATTTAATAGCAACAAGAATAATTAAAACAGCTCTGAGCATCTAAGGTTCCAGGAATATACAGTCATTTAAGAGTCATAAACTTACAAATTACAGATAAGAAAAAACCGGGGATTGTTGTTTATTCAAACACTGAATTATAAAAGAAATTGAATTGATTTGAATTGAATTGATTTGATTTTATTTGCCTTCCTAACGCTACAAGTTTAAAACTTATAAATTAGAGCGCTAGTCACAAAGGGTTACAGTACATTCTGTCATAAAGCTTAAACCTAAACAAAATTTGTGCATATGATATTCTTAATCTAACAATTTAAAGTTTATTATTATTATTATTATTTAGTATATTTTGTAGTTCATTTAACTTAATCCTTAATTTGTAGCAAGATAGTTAAATTTTAGCTTGTCAATATTTATTATTTATATATGTATATTATCGCATTTATTTGCTGATTTTGTTTCTTTATTGTTTTTAGCTTTCTTCAATGAGTAATAATATTTATTTATAATGTGTATGTATTTCTTGAAGCTTCGTTGATCAGAAAAACCAAAGTTTGTGTTGCTCATGGACTTAAAATACTCAACACCAGTCCAAGACTTGGCCTGTAAGAAGGGGTTCCTACTCAATCACATGGTTACTGGTTTTATTCGCATCTTTGAATTCCCTATATAACGGGAGTATTTTGGAGAAGAAATACCGCTTAATCGCTGGAAATAAAATAAAAACAAAAATCAGCTTAATTTATAAAAATGAAACATAACACTGCGATAACCCCTATTGATTTCAAGAAATTCTATAATTGTAATAATTAGTGGCTCAAGCTTACCGAGAAGAATAATTAAATAAAGAATACGGGGAAGACTATAAACACTAAGGTTCGGCAATATATGTATAAGCCCGACACTGCCTACGACCAGGCCCAGTCCATTGACGATCAACCAGGGCAGTAGGACAACATGGCTTTCCTAGGAATATGAAAACGACTTTATTAATTATAAATTTAGGTGATAAGATATATAACTGAAATAAATACGTCTCAAAGCAACGTCCGAAATAACTAGAAATATATTTTGTTTATCAGTATAAAAAGATAAAAACAAAAACCAATAGATATACGGAATTTATCAACCTACCAGGCGTACTCCAATGACCAGGACGAAGGATACAAAAATATTGATCGCATTGTACACCACAAAAACTTGAAGAACTAAAGAATCACCAAAAAATATAACAATATTATTCAATTCTTTCGGGATAATAGTGCTCCTTGCAACTTATCCTTACCGGAGTCCACGAACTCCTCAGTAATATTTGATGTATCTGAAACAAAAGTCTTAGCAATTTCATTGACCTTGATTACCCCTTTAATTGAACAGGCCATGAGGTAAATGGAAAAGATAAGACTCAGTATGGCAAAAGCAACACCGGAGCTGTTACGTTGCCTTACGGTGTCCGTCATTTTGCACTAATTTTAATTTAATTCCTTCTTTGCAGTTGTTGAAAAACAAGACCTCTCGGCGACGCTTGCAATATACAAATGAATAAAATAAACTCTTTCTTTTTATATACAATCTGGTTTTTTTCTTGGAAAAATTAGCTGTAATAATTATTTAAATAAAATGAACTGATTGCCAATGACCCAACATCCATTTGATGATTGTTGAATTTGCCGATCTTCGGAAAAAGTCCCTTGGGAGTCGTGTTGGCAATTGCTGGAGGACTTATCGGGGGCATTGCGAACAACATTATAAAAGGTAAATATATGTTTTTGTAAATGTTTCCAACTTTCTTTTGCTTTTTCTCACTTTACGTTGCAAAAATTATAACTTGTTTACCAAGTAGGATACTCTATCATATTTGACACCTAATTGTTGAACAACTTATGTATATACATTTTTATGTAATTAACCCCACTTATAGTTCAAAGAATTCACAACTTACCGAGTCCAATTACAAAATAGGGGTCTTTTTGTTCTTGAAACCAAATTTAATCACATAACCGATATCTGCGAGGCAAAGGATCACAGAAGTAATCAGCCAGGGCAACAGCAACCAACTCCATCGTTAGAGCTAGAGAATTTGGGAAAATTTTAGTATAGTTACATTCAACGAATCGTAACCTGGACCTGAACCTAATCAGAAGCTTTTGACTGGCATAATTTAATTTTACCGTAACTATTCCCAGGAGCAGCAACGCAGATGTAACAACATTGATCCCACTCCCCACGAGTTTACTGTGACCTTCCCATAAGATCCATAAAAACAAAATATGGTTAATAGGACTCCTATAACCAGATCATAGGATTTGGAAAGCACTGAACACTCGATTGCCAATCTCACAATTTCGATTTACTTATTTCTTTTCAGCTTCATAAAAACAAGACCTCTCGGGGACGTTTCCAAAATGCCAATAAATAGTAATAATTATTGCTAATGACTAAGTTTTAAATTTATATTTAAATATATTTATATTTAAAAAACACGACCTCTTGCCGACGCCCATTATCGCTTCTTCGCATTTTACGTTGAAAAATCATAACTTTTAAAATAATTCTGATAATGGAATAATTTTAACGGCATTTGGCCAGTAATTTTTGTAGAATTTGTATATGTATTGCAAAATGTGCCACGCCTAAAATTATATAAGTTTTTAGTTGGAGAAAAACAGAACCTCTCAGCGACGTTGTCAAAGTACAAATAAGTACAAATAAGAAAAATAATAAATATAAATAATAAGTAATAGTGGGATGTAAAAATAGAGATTACTTTATTTATTGACAGCAATTAGTATTACTGTGTACATACATACATTTTTGGATCTGTGAAATCAAACTTGAATTCATGTATTCTTATTCAGAAAATTCACACAGTTTAGTTCTTTATTTTATATTTCCTTTGTTAAATGTATAAATAGAGTAGTAAAGCTAACTACCATTTAATAATCGATGTCAGATTGTTAAATTATAAGATAGAATAACGAATTGAACTTAAATTATAAGAAAATTGAACAAATTTAAAATTAAAATAGTATTTCATTAAAATTTAAAATCTTCGAAATATACAATTGTAAATCATTTTTGTTTTTAGTATATATTCATTGTCTGCGATTGCATGGCAACCACCCGGGGGGCGCGGCCTCTTGAGTAACCTCCTCCTCCTCTGGTACCTTCGATTTCCTTGTAAACCAAGTATGTTAAGCCATATATAATCCAAATGACCGCTGGAATTAGCAAAGTATCCAGAAATAAACTTTAATTAAATATATAATTAATTAGTTTAAGGAGAAAAATCAATTTTTAGGAAATTCGATTCGATTTCACTTCACACCCCCTTAAAAAAAGAACTATACTCATTTTTATAATCCCACATTTAGGTTCGAATATAAGATCATTTCATGCCGATGATAATAATTTTTGATAAACTCACATATCTTGCATAGTTTTCATTTTGTGAATCGTAAAACTTACACCGTATATTCTATAAGTTATTAACTATTTAAAAAAAAAAAAAAGAGCTCAAAACAATTTGATTTACATGTATATCCCCCTTAAGGTTGAAAGGTATTCAAAACTATTTTGCCGTCACAAACTTACCGAGTATACCGCCACCACTTGGGATGTCTCCACTATTTAGCCACTGCATCACAAAACCGACAGTTAAGGGGGGATATACATGTAAGCGGTCAAAATTTGGTCATTTTTCGTGAATTTTTTTTTATAAGAAATAGTCAAGCAATCGTCGGGAAACTTTGGATATAGTTAAAAGTAGAATCAGAGATGATAAAAAAAATTAGTTATAAACAATATTTTACAAAATGGCGGATTTATGGAACATATGCCGTAGCGCCTCGAGCTTTGAGTTGCCGTGCTATGGACACGATAGAGCTCGTAATTCCTGTCCAAAATCCGTAAACTAAATTTTTTTGTATTCATTACACCTGTATCTTCTATTTGAACCTAAAAAACTAAAAAGAAATCAAGACAAAAAAATTAAATTTTGATTTGAAGGAAAAAAGGCCATTTTCAGGTGATCAGTTTTCACTTCCCACCCTCTTAAAAAATAGTAATACTCAGTTTTATAACAACCATGTAGGTTCAAATAGAAGATAATTTCATGCTGATCATAATACTTTTTGATTCACTGCGATATGTTACGTAGTTTTTTGTGAATCGTGTCCATAGCATAGGTAGAAATGCCAAAATTAGAAGTTGAGAAAAAGACGATTAAAGTTTTTGATGCGCCCACGTTAACACTTGTGAACCTTGCGTGCATACTTGATTTGAGGCACTTTAAGTTGGAATTCGATATTGAAACTTACACAGTATATTCTTTAAGTAATAAACTATTTTTTAAACCAAAAAAAAAATTTGCCCAAAAAAATTTGGTTTACATGTATATCCCCCCTTAAGATGCCAGGGAGCAGTGCATTATTAATCAGCCAGGGCAACAGCAAACGATGGTTTTCCTAGGGAATTTGGAAAAAATTTATTATAGTTACTTTCAACTAAACGTAACCTGGAGATGTCTTATCAGAAGCTTAAGAGTAAGTTTAATTTTACGGTACATAATCCCAGGAGCAGCATAAACGATGCCACAATGTTGATCCCAGTCCCCACCATCATAATCGGCATACCAAATTTGAAAAATAGAAGTTTTTCAAAAAACACATGCATTGCCGTTGACAAAAAAAGAAAAATAAGGAGTATGTGATGCCCAGGATTCCGATAACCAGACCATAGGTTCTGGAAAGACAACAACACAAGCTCGCCATTTTCACAACTTCGGTTCACTGATTTCTTTTTTAGCTTCAGAAAAACAAGACCTCTCGGGGACGTTGCCAAAATACAAATGAATAAAATAAACTTATTGCTAATGACCGCTGCTGGCCATTTGACGATTATTAAATTTCCGAGCGCTAGAAAGAGTCTTTTGAGGCGATTCGTAAACTTTCTTGGTAAAATTGGGCGCTACATTATAAAATTTATAATTAACAAGAAAGAAAGCTAACTTCGGCACGCCGAAGTTTGAATACCCTTGCAGATTGGTTTTCATATTTATGTCATAAATTATAATGCCGAAAACAGACACTAAACTGAGTTACATACCATTTTACCTATACTTATTATGTTTGCAGTTTGACAGTTACAGTTATACATTCCCAGCTTTACATTTTCTCTACATCTGATCGCTTCTATGGCTGCTATATGATATAGTTGTCCGACTTTCATAAAATGTATACCAAAATTCTATAATAATAAGTAAAGCTCATATCTCAGAGTAGATGAAAATACATTGAAAAACAACGAAGTTATAATTTTTTCTATTTCCCTATCGTTCCTATGGCAGCTATAAGATATAGTCGTCCGATTGTCATAAAATTTTTACCAAAATTTTGAAATAATACCAGAAGCTCATGTGTCAAAGTAGATTAAAATACGTTGAAAAACAACGAAGTTATAATTTTTTTGATTAATTTCCCGATCGTTCCTATGGCAGCTATAAGATATAGTGGTCCGATTTTCATAAAATTTTTACCAAAATTCTGGAATAATATAAAAAGGCTATATCTCAAAAATGATGGAATAATATTGAAAAACAGCCAAGTTAAAATTATTTTTCTAAAAATTTATTGAACATTTGTATGGCAGCTATATGATATAGTCGTCCGATCCGGCCCGTTCCGACATATATAGCAGTGAGAGTATATAGAAGACTATATGCAAAGTTTCATTCAGATAGCTTTAAAACTGAGGGACTAGTTTGCGTAGAAACGGACAGACGGACGGACAGACGGACAGACGGACGGACAGACGGACAGACGGACATGGCTAGATCGACTCGGCTGTTGATGCTGATCAAGAATATATATACTTTATAGGGTCGGAAACGTCTCCTTCACTGCGTTGCAAACTTCTGACTGAAATTATAATACCCTGCAAGGGTATAAAAATAATCATAAACTCGGTTCATACTTCCTTTGCAGTTTCCAAGAAAAACATGACCTCTCGCCAACGCACATTATCGCCTTTTTTTATTTTACATTGAAAAATCATAACTTTCAAACCAATTTAGATAATGTAGGAATGTTTTAATGTTTACTTTTGTTATATGTATTGCGAAATGTGTTGTAGGGTAGCTACATACATAATAAAAAACAAAAAAGGAAGCTAACTTCGGCATGCCGAAGTTTGTATACCCTTGCAGTTTGCAATTGGATCATTACGATTACAGTTATTCTAGTTAAATTAATAGAACAAAATATGAGGAAATATATAAATATATCAAAAGTTAATTTCATTAAAATTTAAAATCATCAAAATATACAATTGTAAACATTTTGTTTTTTTAATATATATTCATAGTCTGGGATTGCATCGCAACCACCCGTGGTCTGGAGTAACCTCCTCCTATGGAACCTTGGATTTCCTCGTAGACCAAGTACATTAAAAAGTACAGAAAACACAAGAGAACTGGAATTAGAAAAGTAGCCAGAAATCAGTTCCACTTACGGTTCAAGGAATTCACAATTATTTTAGCGTCACAAACTTACAGAGTCCACCTACACAACGCGGGATATATTCAGCCGGTTGAATCACTAAACCAATAGATCCGAGGAAAATGAACAGTCCATTATTAATCAGCCAGGGCCACAGCAAACGATGGCGTTGCTAGAAAATTTAGAAAAACATTTTTAGAATCGTAACCTGGAGGTGCCTAATCAGACTGTTTAATTTTACCGCAACTATTCCCAGGAGCAGCAACACAGATGCAAAAACATTGATCAAACACCCCACGGCCGCAGCCTCTACAACAGTCTTGGAAATTTTAATCGATGAATTTTCTTCACTCCGTATACTGTACGCTTTCCATAAGCCCCATAAGCACAATATAATGGAAAGGACTCCGATAACCAGACCATAGGTTCTTGAAAGCACATTACACACATTTGGCATTTTCACAATTTCGGTGCACTTATTTCTTTTTTAGCTTCAGAAAAACAAGACCTCTCGGTGACGTCTTCAAAATACGAATGAATAAAAAAAGAGTTTCTTGAGGATTTTATACATATTTTTTGAAAAAAATTGGTCAGCACATTAAAACATTTTTATTAAAATCTTATCAGAACCTAGGCTTAGAGTTACAGTTTTCAAGAAAAAAACGGCCCCTCAGGGACTCACAGTAGTGCCTTTTCTCTTTTTATGTTGTACAAATTAGAACTTTTGAGCCTATTAAGATGATCGAATAATTTAAACGGCATTTGAAAGGTAATTGTTTTAAAAATTATACATATTTATGACACCCATTCTTTTTTAAGGTGTCAAAGTCAAAATATAAATAAAAAAAAATAAAAATAAAAGAATTATAAACATATTTTATGTTTTTTTACTTTATTTTTTTAATTAAATAAAAATATTTTGTAAACTGAAAACTTTACTATGTTTATTCTTTGGAATACTTGAAATCACAATAGCCCCTCTTTATGCAATTAACACGAATTCATGCATTCTTATTGAGAGAAATAACAGAGTTCAATTCGTGTATTGTCGAATACGTGAAATGAAAAACATGAAAACTAAACCCCCTTAAATAAATATTTTTCCATTTGTGTATACAAAATATATATTTCTTCACAGACAATTGGATAAACATACATAATTCGCCTTGCAGTTTCATTCGAAAAGTGATAAACGCAGGTGCAGGCCATATGGAGTGAGTAATTCAATAGAGAAACAGATATGCATCGATTTTGATTTTAGACATACAAATATCGCTTTTGTTCGTGTTAATTTTTAATACAAAAATAGATATATTGGAAACTGCACTGATAAGATTCAATAGCTGTTGATCAGCGGCTTAAAATGACTCATAAGCCAGCCTATATCTTGGTGTAGCTGGGGTACGAATTGGTCTGCGGGGCAGCTGGCGGAATCAGAGGACGCTGAATATCACTGTTGGCTTGGATTTGCTTGAACAGCGAGTAGATTCCATAGTACAAATACCATGCAAGAGCTGGAAAAAGTAAATAACAAACAATAAATAATGCTATCAAGTGTAATTAAATGAGAGCTGCAGCAGCCAGCGGTTGTGCGATAACCCCAGATGAGAGCTAGAGCAATTTCACAACCACTTTTCTGTGCAAATCCCATTCTCAGATAAGGCAGGGGAAAAACTGTGACTCATTGCACTTGCTTACCGAGAGTAGCCAAAGAGAACAGGAGAATGGGCAGGGCATCCAAGAAGGGAGGCGGTGCACTAATAACTTGCGCCCAGACGCCAAAGTGAAAGAGAATGGCAAAGGCTAGCAATACTCCATTGTTGATCAGCCAGGGCAGCAGGAGCAGATGGCGTTCCTAGAAAAATGGTTAGCTTAATTAGCGGAAAACTCGATTGTTTATACTTTATATGTGTATATATACATATGTAAATATTTGTATATAAAAATGATGTATGTAGTTGTGTAAATTAAGTTAAAATGCCTTACCTTAACGGTGCCCACAACCAGCATGGCCGATGCCAAAAGATTGATCACCTTCAGTGGCAGGTAAACACTCAGGGCAATAATGAGAACTGAAAAGCCACAAACGTAGAACATAATATCCAAATACAGATCTACATATGCACATGTATGTACATGTATATACTTGTACTTACTGGAGCGCACTTGATCCACTGTAACATCTGCACTTTTGTTAGCTTCAACAATTTGCTGCGCAATTTCATCAGCGAATCCCAGGGCTACGGATAAAAGGATCACCGCCAGAAAGGAGAAAATCACGCCCAGCCAGCCAATAACCACACCATAGGTGTTCAGTCTCATGCAAAACACGCTGGACAGCATTTTCACTGGTTTTTGATAAGTTTTATTTGATTAGAGATTCGGGAAAAGAAACAATAGCTCTTGCCGGCGCAGTCGAAATGCAATTGGATCGAAAAAAATAAGTCGCAAATGCATGACAATTGAGAGAGCTTTCAGGTGGCAGTGTTGCCAGATCGGTGAGTAACAGAAAAATAATGGGCGCGTCACCCTAATATTTGTAAGATGCTACTTTACTAAAACTATAATATTTTAATTTATATTTTTTACTTAGTTATTTTAAAAAAATTAATTTTTAGAATTTTTTTAAAACTTAAAAAAATTAAAATTAAAATTACAAAAAATATTATTAAATATTTAGTATATATATGTAGAAACCTAATTAAATTTATTTAAGTAATGTTTATTTCTTATCTATTTTCTTTTCTATTATATTTCCATTCCATTTTCCTTTTTATAAAATCACAGTTTTGTCACGCCTTAGTCACTCTTTCAGGGCTGTAACATATAAATTTGAATGCAAACCGTTAGGATTGTTAGCAGAAGAAATGAACAGCATCCATTTAGATAATTGTTATTTTTAAAAACAAAATGTGATTCTAGGTATGATTCGTTATCTTGATCGTATATCATCACAATGCAAGCTAACATCTTCCCACACACTGTAATTGTTGTTGCTCTGGTCTTTTGGCGAGCACCCTAAGCTTTAAAATGCATACGCACACATATACATTTTGCACTAAGCAACAGGTTTTTGAGATTTTTAAATTAAAAACAAATTTTAAACAATTAATTATAATTATAAAGAGTTGTTAATGAATAAATTCAAAATAAACCTATTTGAATTTAAAAAAAACCTATTCAAATGGGTTTATTTTTAATTTATTAATAATTAAATAAATAAAACAATTCATAAAAATGTAATATTTCAGATCTATCAAATCTTAGTAATACTAAATAAAATATTTACTAAAAAATAAAATCTATACCTAACAAGAAAGGAAGCTAACTTCGGCACGCCGAAGTTTGAATACCCTTGCAGATATTATTTCATTGCATTTTATCTATACTTATTATGTTGAGAGTTTGACAGTTACAGTTTTACATTCCCAGTTTTACATTTTCCCTATACCTACCGATCGGTTTATATGGCAGCTATATGATATAGTTGTCCGATTTTCATTAAATTTATACAAAAATTCTGAACTAATAAAATAAGCTTATATCTCAGAGTAGATAAAAATAGTTTGAAAAACAACGAAGTTATAATTTTTTTTCTATTCATTTCCTGATCGTTCCTATGGCAGCTATATGACATTGTCGTCCGATTTTCATAAAATTTTTACCAAAATTCAAAAATAATATAAAATGGTCATATGTAAAAAATAGTGCACATATGTTGAAAAACAGCTAAGTTATAATTTTTTTCTAAAAATTTATCGAACATTTGTATGGCAGCTATATGATATAGTCGTCCGATCCGGCCCGTTCCGACATATATAGCAGTGAGAGCATATAGAAGACTATATGCAAAGTTTCATTCAGATAGCTTTTAAACTGAGGGACTAGTTTGCGTAGAAACAGACAGACAGACAGACGGACAGACGGACATGGCTAGATCTGACTGAAATTATAATACCCTGCAAGGGTATAAAAATAGGCTATAAAATTTAAATATAATTTCTAATTACTTGCTGTCTTTAAACAAAAAAAAAAACCCTGTTTTGTTGTCTAGTCTAACCAAACTGTTGCTTCCCCAAGAATGTGTAAAATGGAATTCAGTTGTTATTCGCTTCTCGCCGTGCTTGGTCGCTTTTCCGTGCTCCAACTTGCCCCCAAAACCGGTTTCGCCGTTTTCGGTTACTTTTAGTGAAAACTTAACCACCGTATATTCCCAAAGATGAAAATCGATCTGATCGTGGACCAGGGCCCGTGCCAAACGGAGCTCAGAAGCTGGTGCCTGGGCATAGCCATATATTCGCTGATATCCGTGACATTCAGCGTGCTCTTCGCTCCAACGGGTAGGAGAAATTTCAAGGCGTGGCTACATTTGTTTATTCCTCCTCCGGGCCATTGTTTCAGAGCATTAGAATACATACGCGACCACGGCCACGGCGTATAAATTAAAACCATGAGCTAATCCATGGAGACAAAACAACACACAAAAAAAAAAAGAAAACACGTTTCATTTTTTTGGATCGATGACGACATCGGTGACAGATGCAAGCTGATGTTTTCATTTCAAAAATGTGCACACACATGCAAAAGTTCAAGATCATATTTGGTTGGATTTTTGCTTTTGATATTTGATACTTGGATAATTTTAACAACAAAATCTTGATAATTTAAAGACAGAAATTGGAAACTAAAGTAATTTTGATGAGAGCTAAATAACGAGGATACATATCTATACCCTTTAAGGGTATTATAATCGTAGTCTGAAGTTGTCGTAAAGCATTGAAGGAGTCATTTCCGACCCTATAAAGTATATATAATCTTGATCAGCCTTGACAGGCGAATCTTTCTAGGCATGTCTGAAGAAAAAAAAATTTATTTTTTTTTTCACTAAATGTTATAAGGGGTTACATCGTTAAAATTCTCAAAAATCGACCAAAATTTTGATTTTCTATAATTTTAAATTTTATATGCAGATTTGTTAACCTAGAAAAAACTAGCATAGAAAAGCTTTCCGAATTGAATTTAATGCTTTTTTGACTGAGTTATGAAATTTTTAAACTTTGATTTTTCCAAAAAAATTTTATATAAAAATATGAATAAATATCCATTTCAGGAAATCAAATATTGGTGAAATTGAATTTTTACAATCTAAAATACAAAAAAAAAAAATTAAATAAATAATTAATTACTTATTAAAAAAATATAAAGTTTTTTTAACTGATAACAACTTATACAAAAATGTAAATTTAATAAATTTAATTTATAGATCATGTTTGTTTTTATATGGATAAATATCCATTTAAGGAAATCAAATATTGGTGAAATTTAATTTCTACAATCTAAAATACAAACATAAATTAAATAAATAATTAATTAATTATTAATAAATATAAAATTTATAAAATTGAATACGAAAAATAATTTTTAATCCCAGAAATGTTCAAGATCATGTTTGTTTTTTGTTATACTTACCTTAATAAAAATCTTTAAATATCTAAACTTATAATTTTATATTTTTTTTAAATTTATAAAATTTTATAAATAAAAAAGCTTATAGTGTACATTAACAAATAACCATATTTCCCCCTCGTTGCAGTTGTAAACTTTGTTGGCTTTGCCATTGCCGTGATCGCCAATGTGTTGCTGTTGATCGGCACCCTCAAGGTGAGTTCACACACCCGCCTCACCAAATAACCCTTACTGATTCACCACTGTGTTTCCTGTTACCTTCTTAATCATCTTCCAGGAAAAGCGTGTGCTGCTCCTGGGCTGGCTTATCTTTGCCCTGATTGAAGCCATTGGCTTTCCCTTTGCCATTTTCGGTGTGATCTTCCACTATGGAGGCTATCGTGAGGCCACCGGTTTCAATAATATTTTCGGGGCCCTATTGGTGTACATAATATCGATTCGTGAGTTTAAATAGTTATTTTGTAATGTACTGTTTTCCAGAATTAATCTTTCCTTTTTCTTGTAGTAATTGTTGCATTCTGCGCCCGCCTTATATACTCACACTACGTCCAGCTGAAGAACCGCGAGTCGAGCAGTCCCCGAACCACGAATGTGGTTTAGACTCGTTAAAACTTAACTTAAGTTTGGCAATAAATAATACGCTCTTGTATTTTGATTGCAGTTTAGTCTCTCTTCTTATTCACATCCGGAACATCCGCAACTATCAACAGTTAGATACATGGGTTATGGTTATATTATAGTTATACATATACAATGACAGGGCGCTAGTCCTCCTCAAAACACACAACAGTTAAAACGATCGATCACACTACGGACATTTCTATCTATATAGCTAGCTATCATACTATCGGCATCCAGCTCCATATCCTTCTTACACATAAAATGGAAAGTTGGTCTTCTTATTATTGTTGGTGCTTTGTTGTTGCGTCTGCTGCATAAAGCTCGTCTCGGCATTTTGGCTACTCAGCTTGGCCTGCACAGCGGCCAGGATGCGTGATGGCTGCTGCTGGCCCGCCTCCAAGGCAGATTCCATGCCCAGATTCAGATTCAACTTGAGCTCGAATTGGGATCCATTTGCTTGGATCTGCGACTGCGTGGGCGGCCGTTGGACGGCAACCGGCTTTCATCTGGGCGTGGTAATGCTGGGCAGCTTCTCCAGGAAGTCATTGGCCAGCACCTCTTCGATCTCCTGCAGGCAATTGGCCACATCCTGTTCCGTGTCGGCAAAGTTCCGGGGCTGCGGGCAGTTGAAGCCCAATGTGGAGAAGAAGGCGTACAGCTCCTGCAGGGATTGCAGTTGCTGGAAGTGCAACATCAGATGGCGGTTGCTAGGACGTTGCAAGAGCTAAGGGAAATGACAAGAGATTAATCGATAGAATGTAAAGCAGCTGGTAGATCTACTTACCGGCGACTGAGTCGTGTACTTCATGTCCATCAGTCTCACCAACCGCCTTACATGCGGCACATAGAGAGCACTGGGCAGCATGGCCAGATTCTCCAGACTGCCATTGGGCAGTCTCACCTCCTCCTCGTGCACATCAAACTCGGTGCCCACAAAGGCCCAGCGATACATCTGGAAATGCGGCAATTTGGTGGCCGGCAAAACGCATCCCAGTTCTAAAAGCTTGCAAGCCTCCAGCTGTACCGAGCGCCAGTGCTGCATGGGCGTCTGGGAGCTGTAGCCATTGCTGGCTGTCGAGGCGGAGGACCAGGAGACATCAATGCCCGAGGGCATGCGCATTTGTTGACTGCAAAAATGTACAGATTTTAGAGATCAAACTTTTTATATATGTATAATTTAGGACTCACTTTCTCTCCTCGCTCTCCGACTTGAGTTCCTGTTCCATTTGCAGGAACACCTGCACCATTTCGGCAATGATGATGGGCCACAGCGAGGTGACATGGTCGGGCGACATGCGCAGCAGGAGTACACGGAAGCAAAGGAAAACGGCAGCCTGAACGGAGGGACCCATAGGAACCAGTCGTAAACTGTTGGCCAGTTGCTCTGTGGGGAAACAGATGGAGTTATAGCTTTCAAATCCCCAAAGGTTCTACTGAATGAAAAACATTTGTGTGTAGCAGCTAAAGCTTTTAGAATTCTACGAATTTTGGGTACTTCCTGAATGAATGCTTCTTATCGCAAATAAATACAGTATAACAAATATATTTATATATTACATGTTAAACAGAATTCAAATCGCTAAATATAAATATAGAAACCTCTCAGATTACTCATTCTCTCTCCCTTGAAAACCCCTAATCCCCCCCGAGACTCACCCTGAATATCCGGCATGTACTTGTTGTGCTGATCAAACTCGCTGCAGTAGATAACAAACGCCAGACGCTTGAGCAGCATGGCCCGCTGCTCGTACTCCTGATCGCGCGATGTAAATATGTTCAGGCTGCCCGCCTGCGAGAGTGAGACGCGGGTCATAAGCTCCCGGAATGTGGTATTGTCGTACGTCATCAGACTGTCCATGATCATGCGCCAGAAGGGCAGGCACGAGAGATGCATCTGGAAGAAGGCATTGTCCAGGAGGAGATCCAGCATATCCTTGCGCCAGGCCTTCCTTGTGTACTGATACCCACTCAGGCTGGCCAAGAGCGCCGAGCAGGCGTAGAAGAAGGGCACATTCCGGGCCGTGTGATTCTTCAAATACGGAGTTATATTGTACAGCAGCGGGGTCACTATATTGACCACCTTGTCCTTCTCCTGAGAGCCATACGCCACATCCAGTAGGTTTGAGAGTATGGCTGCGAGGACACTCTGCGCCTGCAGGGAATACTGCTGCAGTCCACCGCCACCCACGCTGTTGTCCTTGGCCAGGCCATCAGTGTCCTCCTTAACAGCCAGATTACGACGCAGCCAGGTGGTCTGTTCCAGGCAGGAGCCAGCCACACTGGACAGCGAGTCCACCAGTCGCGAGGTAACGTCATGCAGCTCCCTCACCTCCTTCTTGTCCTGGAAGGGCATCTGCGGACAACGCTGCACAAACTCGTTGAGCAGCATCAGCAGAGCAAACTGTGCAGGAGGCGTCAGATTCAAGCCATCCCGGATGAGGGCCAGCAGCGAGCTCCAGGCATCGGCCAGCTGGGGAGCCGGGGCAGAACGCATGTAGAAGTAGAAAAGCTCCAGCGAGCTTACCTCAATGCTGAGCTGGGCAGGTGGCCGGTGGATGGGCGGCGGCGAGCGCACCACTTGGTGCAGGGTCATAACAAACGAGTCCATGGGCATCACCCGGATGCTGGACACCAGGGACACCAGAGAGAGCTGGGCGGGACAAGCCTGCAAAGTGGAGTTCCTCTGGAACTGCTCGGAGATGCTTAATCCACTCATATTGGCAGCCACCCCGCGCTGCTGCCAGGTGACGGCCACGGCGGCCAGGAAATTGCAGCCATGATGCAGTGAAACCGGCGACAGGAACTCCAAGAGTTGCTGACGCACTGGCCTAAGCTGTCCCAGTTCGCTGTCCCAAATGGCAGCCACGCTGCTCATGATCCTTGGTAGATGTGAGAGCACTGCATTACGCGCCGCCTGAAGCTGGGGATTCCTAGGCGCCGGCACTGACGCTCCAGAAGATTCGCTGGCCGAGAGGAAGGAGTGAACAATGCTGTTGAGCAACTGCCCAGTGCTGGAGCTCTGCGCCGAGGAGCTGGTCTGGGGATAGGCCTGGTTGAACAGGTGCGAGAGCGCCGTCTGCTGGGTGTTGTCCAGCAGGCAGTAGTGACAGAGTATAGTCAAGGCCTCCAGCTGAGAGACCACATAGTCCGGCGGAAAGTGTCGCTGCTGGGGGAGTGGCGTCTTGGCCAAACGATCCAAATTGCTGCACAGCTGGTGGACCACACTGATCACTATGTTGGTGAGGGAACCAAAGGAGAAGCAGTTCAGTGAGGAGGTCACCAGATCCGTCCAGTTGCGATGCAAATGACGCAGTCGCTCCTGCTGCAGGGCTCCTAAAACGGCGGCCAAAAACATGGGCTGCTGGCTGATCAGGCAGTTGGGCAGATACTTGACATTTGCTGCCGCCGATCCCTCCGTGAGGCGGGTGGGCGAGGCATTGCCTGCGGTATCCTCTCCTCCTGTGGGGGGTGTCTCCTGCCGCACCTGATGCACCTCGTGCTCCAGCCGGATTACAGCTAAAAGCAGGCGGAGTAGCTGCAGCTGGAAGCAGTCGGCATGCAGCTGGTCATCCTGCGGATCATTGAAGCTCAGGACCTGCTCCGCATAGCTGGCGTTGGCCCTGCTGCGTCCATAGCTGCACACAGAGCTATTAAGGCAGTGCAGCATAACCTTCTGGAGCTTGGCGCGGGCTAACAGGTCGGCTATGTAACGGGCCAGTCCTGTGCCCATGCCCTTGACTATCTCTATCAGCTCAGTGCAGATCACAGTCAGCAGTTCAATGCTTTCTAGTTGGATCCTCCTGTTGTTTACAATGTCCTGCAGGGTGGGAGGTTGCCGCTGGGCATCCAGGGATTCCCTCTGGAAGTAACCACGTGCATAGAAGAGGCACAGAGTGACCACTAGCTCCAGTTGCATGCATCCCCTATAAGCCTGGGCATATTCCGAGCTGCCCACGCTGCCATCAAAGCCCTTGCCGGAGATACTCTTGCGATGGCGCACTAGAAGCTGCTTCAGGCTGCCGCTGGAGAAGGAAGTGGTGATGGAGAGGCAGAGAAAAGTGCGACGATCGCAGCAGATAATGTTGCGTAGCGTCTGCAGGGCATACAAAGTCTGGCGGGTGTCATAGATGGCCAGGTACAACAGCAAGTGGTTGTGGTACAGGTGAGCGGCATCGGTGAGGGAGTGGCTGCTCTTCAGGGAGCTGCGCAGGCTAGAGGTTTGCTCCTCCGCTGCCGCCGCTGCAGCAGCAGCTGCTGCCGCATTATTCTGACGCAAAATCTCCACATTTTGCTTGCCCTTCTCCAGGGTTTTCTGCATATCCGGCTGGAGTTTGCTGGTCTCCAAGCTAAGATTCCTTCGCTTATCCTCCACATTGATGGTGGACTCTGGTTCCTCCGATTCCTCTTCAAGCTCTGGCTGTTCCACATGCGAGCCACTGAGATTGCTGTCCGTGGAGGTCTTGGAAATGCAGCTTAGGCGCTTCTTCTCACCTGCAATCAAAAGCTTCTTGCGCTTGCCCAGCTTCTTGTCCTCCCGGAAATACTCATCCGCAGGCAAGGCCTCCGCTTGAAGGTCAGGAGTACTCTGCTGCTCTGGTTCCAGCGAGTTGAGACTGGACTCACCGGGCGTCTTCTCCCTGGTCAGGCGATAGGTCTTGCGGCTCTTGATCTTCTCGTGCTGGGTCAGGGCCTCGGTGACCCTTTCACAATCCCCGACAAAGCGCTTGACATCATCACTGATTCCGGCACTCGAGCTCACCGTAAGGCTGTCCTCCTTCTCCAGACTGGTCTCGCGCAGCTCCGAGTCCGACTCAAAGTCGCTGCTGTCCGAGTTGTCTGTGATATCCTGGTCAAAGTGGAGACTCTGATCGGCTGGCTGGGCTCCTGGCGTCTGCTCCTGCGAGGGCTGCTCGCTCTCGTCCATGGCACAGGCCAGCTTCTGCTCCAGCGGTGTCTCCTTGTGGGGTATCTCAATCCGCGGCTCCTCTAGATCCGTTTCATCGTCAAAATCATTGGCATTCTCCAGGGGATTAATAATCAGCCCTATGGTGTTGACATCCTGGGCCACCTCGCTGCTGTTGCTAGCCACTGCTAAGGCTGTGGCCTTGTAGTTCACGAAATTAGAAACCTTGTTGGCCTTGCCGCCGCTCAGGGTCACCCCAAAGATCTTCTTGGGAAAGTTTCGAATGGGGCTCTTCTTCTTACCCCCGCTGGTGGTCTCCATGTGATGATACTTCACATTGCCCTGCTCCGAGCTAATAGCATACACATCGCGCTCAAAGGCAGGCGTGACTTCTGCTTCGGCTTCGCGATACAACTGCTGCATGTGGACAATGCCCACGCGCTTAGAGCTGGCGGAGAGCAGGATCTTGTAGAGCGGCTTGGTTACCCGGGCGAGATCTCCACGCAGCAACGAAGCCTGTAGCCAGTTGGTCACAAACGTCCGCTCTGACATGTAATGGGGCAGCGACAAGGTGTCCAGCACCTTGAGGAGGGTCTTCTCAAATCCCCTCGTTGGCTGCTTGGCTCTGCCTAGGTGCCACAGCAGCTCAAACTTCTTGAAGCTGCGCGCCTGGCTCTCACGCAGCCTCTCCGTGGATTCCGTGGGGCACAGCAGTTGGGCATCCGCTAGGCGTTCCATCTGGTAACTGCGCAGGGCTGTCCTTCCCAAGACAGGCGGTTGAATCTGCAGAAGATGCTGTGCCTGCATCCTATTACCAATTACTGTCTCCACCAGGCCACTCTCCAGGCAACTGTGCAGCTGATGGAGAAGCGCTGCAATCTGGGCTGGATCTATGCCGGCAGCTCCTAGGTAATCCCACAGTATGGAGCTCACCAGCTGGAAGACGCGAGTGTGTTGTTCCATGTAGCTGACATGGCCAAACTTGAGCAGGGGCAGCATCACCACAAAGGTGACCCCGGGGCTGGTTGTGTGCTCGATTTGAGAACGGAGGAGACTGAAAGAAAGGGATTAACTTTGAATGATATATATGTGCATATATAACTCACCTGATCAAATCAAAAAGCGTAGTTATAGCCGACACCTGTAGCTCTTTATCGCTCTGAGCAAAACAAGCCACCAAGCAGAGGACTTTCAGCCAGTTGGGTAATTCTGGCTCTAAAATGGATTTTAATAAAAAACAAAACAAAATTAAACACTGTTAAGGAAAGGCCCTGAATCAGCTTTAAGCTGTGGCAAAGTAATCCCCTGAATCATAGAAACCAGGAAGGGAAACCCTCACTTAAGGTTTTACCTCAAGTTTCTTAGCAAACTCTTGACTACGACAGCCATGATTAACCAATTACTCACCATTCCTGTCCAGCACAATGTGCTTATTGCAATTGGGGAACGTGGACATCTCCACCAGCAAAGTAGCCGCCAGTTTGACAGCTCCTCGAAGGGATAAGCTCAGCTGTAGCTCAGACAATTGCTGGACACTGCGCTGCGTTTGTCCATCGATGAGCAGACTCTGTTGCTTGTCCTCCTGCGCCTCGCTGTCGCTGCTCAGCTCACTGGCACTGGCGGGCAGGGGCAGGGAACGATTCAGCAACCTCTGTAGCTGCTTGGAACGTGGAACAATGTCCACGCGGAGCAGGTTAAACAAGCGTTCGATTTGTGACTCTCTTTCGGCGCACTCATGCTCTAGAACTTGCTCGGCCAGGAACAGATTGGAGGTGTGACTGGTGCTGGTGGTTCTCTGCACTTGAACCCTCACCGCGCATTCCTTGGGCTCTGCTTGGATTTGGAGTAACTTTCTGGCCAGGTAAACCTCAAAGAAGATCTCATACTGGCGGATGCACTTCTCCAGAATGGAGAAACCACGCTGCTGAGTGGCCCGACTTTCCTCGTCCAGCTGGAATTGAGGAGATTGATCCGGGGGAGCACTCTTCGGTTCCTCAAAGCTAGGACCATCGCCGTCATCGGTTGTAGTATTGGACTGGACCAGAACAATGTCCTTGGGTCGCTGTTTTTTGGGACTGCGTATAAAGGGCACCTTGGCCTTGGCCTTGAGCTTTTTAATGCTCCGAGGAGTGTCCAGATCCGAGGAGGATTGCGGGGTATCCGAGGCGCTGATCTGTTGATAATTGAAAATAAAAAAATTATAAAGAAAAGCTAGAACCCTTAGCCTTGAAGGTAACTCACATCCTTGTCCAACTCAGACAGCCTGGATATGGACTTGGCCTTCTTCTTGTTGGGACTGTGACGACCCACACTCTGGTTGGAGGCCGAGCGCCGGATGAGCTCCTCATCATTGTTGGCATCCGTGCCGTGGAGCGAGTTCTCCGCAAATTGATTTAGCCGCGAGTCCGACTTGCTTTTCTCCAGGGAACTGCTGGGTGCCTCCACTTTCTGACTCACCGAATTCACGGTGATCTTCTCGTCCGACGAGGAGCCACCACCACCACCATTCTGCTCTATCAGCTTGTTCAGTTTTATGGGACTTCTACAAAGAAATACAGAGAGATAAGAGAGGGTTTCAAGTAATGTCTTTGTTTTCCAGCTTACGTTATCATGGGTTGGACCCTGGAAACAATCTTCATGCAGAGCTTGAGCGAGGCCGTGATCTCGCTGCTGCTCACGCGATCCATGTGGAGGGAGAGCAGCTGGGTGATGGCCAGAAAGACCTTGGGCAGGTACACCCTAGTGGTCTCCGTGTACATCTCCAGGGAGACGGTTTCCAAAAGGAATTCGGTTAGGAGGCAGATTTCCAGGACACAGGGATCCCCGGAACCCACTTCGCAGGCATATTTTCCAGAGGATTCAGTGGCCTGAGACTTCTCCTTCGAGGAGTTGGCCTGCAGGCAGGCTCTTTCAAACATATTAGTCATGTAGCTCCAGATGTACGCCGGATCAAAGGTGGCAAACAGCAGGTTGGCGGATTTCAAAGCCTCCGCATTACCGCTGGAGATGTACATGGCGCGCATGATGTCATGAAGGACATAGTCTAGAACGGCACTGCCTATCTCCGCCTTGTCCAGCAGGGAGAGCATAATCCTGTACGGTTTCAGGTCCATGGGTGAGCAATCCAGGCTCAGTCGCAGGGTGGTGATTAAAGCTCGGATTAGAATGTGCCGCGAGTGCTTCACAAAGTAGGGTTCCAACTCCGGCTCCTCCTCCTGGGCATTCGAGGTGTCCAGTGAAAGGGTATCATAGGTGGGCGAGTTCTTGGCCACTTCGCTGCCCAGCAACCAACTGAAGAGTCGCCTGTTTAGCGACATATCCCTTCGCAGGATGGTATTCAGCCCATTGGTGACCAGTTTCACCAGATCATCCTCGCCAAGCAAAGCCGTGTGCATGGGAAAACCCAGCAGCAGGAACTCCAAGGTGTTGCGCTGCACCAGAATCAAAGAATCATTCAGGCAGGCGCACAACGCCGACATCATAATCTCCCTGTTGTGGCCCATGATGTAGATCTGCTCCTGCATATCCAGACGCTTATTGAAGTGCTCCAGCAGGTAGGTGATGGCCGGCAGCCTTATGGCCGCATTGTTGGCCACCGACTCCCATAGCACCGTGTAAAAGTGCATGGGATTCACGGCATTGCACACTTGCTTCAGAAGAGAGCTAATCCTTTCAAAGTGATCCAGGCCACAGTCGTAACCGGGCAGGACGCCATTGAGGAAGCCGCTCAAGGCAGGCCTCAGCTTATCGCCCAGCGGCACAAAGTAGTTCTCGTAGATGGCCAGCAAGGCGGGCCTCACGTTCATGGCGGCATAGCCCAGCAGCGGGAACAGCCCGGCACTAAAAGGAGTAATTAAACCAAAGTGAGATTAGGCTGGCTTTATCTCTGAATTTCGGAGGCCACTGACCTGTATATAAACTCCGTGGCCAGACGCTCCGGCCCCGTTTTGCTAAAAATCACCGAATAGGTCTCTAAAGCCTTGAGATGTACCCCGGAGGGCAGGGCGGGATGCATACACTGGGCCAGTCGCTTGGCTATCTTCAGACGACGTGGTATGACCTGGTACTGCGTATTGCTTGATATGGCCTGAGGCCACAAGCAGGAAGAGAGATAAGGTAGAGATGTAGTGAGTCATCTGGCTCCAGCTTCGAAGAGGAGCTATATACATACCTTGCTGAGCTTGCCCAAAGCCGATATCAAATCCGCCCACTCGCTGGAGTACTCGAAATTGCGCAGCGCCTTGTCTATGTTGGTCATGTAGGTGCGGTACTTGGCCTCCGCCATGAGCTTCTGCTCCTCGACGAGCGCGTCCGCAGAAGTCTCCATGCTGGGCTCCGATCTCTAGCTACGTGTGTTTGTGAGTGCGAATTGGTGGGAGAAGAGCTCTGCAAATAATCGATAGTTAAACACACTTGTTGCCCTTGGAAGTCGTGTTGAAGCTTGCATATTCGAAAAGTGTGGCAAGTGAAGCACCTGCGAAACACACTCTTTGTTCCCCCAGCACACACTCACACACGGCGCTTCCGCTTAATTGGCAGCGGGTCTGGCAATTAACCCCAGATGTGTGTGTGTGGTTCGTGTTCTATACTTTCCAACTGCAATATCGGCCCAGAAAATAACGTCAGCGACGTTTGTCGTCGCGCGTGGCAGGAGCAGAAAATTGTAAATATGTGAATACTCTCTCTCTCTCTCTTTCTACGAAATGCAACGGGAACGGAGAGAGCGATAAGCGACGGAGACCAGCTGATGACGAATATTCTGCTGTTTGCCCTAGGCTCCTGGAAGCGCGGGGTAGAGGGGGGTGCGCGTGACGGAGACAGACACAGACAAATGCAATTGTTTTGGAATTTTTCGAGACTTTCCTAGCTCTTTATAACGGCCACCTGCAACCTGCAACTCGCCCCCGCTTACCACAGCGAATATCTGGCGATTTTAACACATTTTACATTGTATAAATATTGCACTTTTGTTTTTGTGTGTGGAATTTACATCTGGCAAATTTTTTTTGGCTGTAACTCGCTAGCGATGGACTCTTGCTATTGATAACCGTGACTTCTTCGCCAGCGATAACTACGCTAGGGAATATTTCACAACTCACATTGAAATATTTCATTAAAATAAACACTTAAAATTTAAAGGACAAACTCCAAACTAAAATTTCGACAATTTTATCTAAAATAAAATATTTTTTTTACCAAAATATCCAAATTAACTGGTATTTTGAACACCAATCTATGTGACCCATCTCTAAGGCTTGTTATCGATAACGATAGCTTCGTTTAACAAGAAAAGATTATAGCTTCGCCTCACCGAATTTTGTATACCCTTGCAAATATACTTGCAGTTGAAAATAAAAAATTGTTCAATTTTAGTTAAATGATAAAAACTAATTTTAACAGAAAATATGAAATGTTAAATTTTTTTTTAAACAAATTTTTGTATATTTTCTATGGTAGCTATTTGATATAGTCGTCCCATTAAAACTAAACACGATATTCTAAAATAATATGATATAAGAGATGAGTATATATATCTCAAAGTAGGTAAAAACATGTTTAAAAAACACCGAAGTTATATATATACCCCCCAAGGCTATACAATTAAAAATTCAAATTTCACGTTGAAAAGTCAATGGATTTAATGTTTCCTTCACAAAACTCAATAAATTACTAACTGAATATTTAGCCATACTTCAAATAAATACAAATTTTGTTAAATGCCAACGCAATAACTTAAAAAGAAATGTGTAGAACTGTGTCAGTTCGTGACTATTGGGTTTTCCATCGAATGCGCGATTAGGGAAATGAGGTAAAAATGTCCAGCCAGTGTTGTGTTTATAAAGTCTCCGATTTTCCAGCCCTACTTCTTCTTCTTGCCTTTGTTTTGGCCACCGGCGGCAGGTGCTCCAGTCAGTGCCGCCAGTTCGTTCTTCAGGGCTAAGAGGGTAGCCACTTCGGGCTTCCACACGTCAGCATTGCCGGCAGCCTTCAGGGTTCTTACTTTTTCGCCCTGTTGGGCTATTTTGTCTTCTAATGCCTTGACCTGGGTAGGATCCACCGAGGAAGTGGCTGCGGGGGCTGGAGTAGGAGCGGGAACAGCGGCAGGAGCTGCCTTGGCTGCCTTCTGGGCCGCCTCCAGTTGCTTCTTGAGCTCGAGCAGGACATTTACTTCCGGCTGCCACACGGCCTTGTCTTTTGTGCTGCCTTTTAGTTTGCGCACCTTGTCGCCTTGCTCCTGGATGGCCTTCTCCAGGTCCTGCACTGACTGCTTTCCATTCGAGGAAGCGGGAGCTGGAGTGGCACTGGCAGCGGGTGTTGCCTTCTTAGCCTCTTCTAGCTGTTTCTTCAGGTCCAGCAGCTTGTTAACTTCCGGTTGCCACACGGCCTTGTCCTTGGTGCTGGCCTTTAGCTGACGCACCTTATCAGCCTGATCCTGTACAGCTTTTTCCAGTTCCGCAGCGTTGCCTGGGCTCTGCACAGCAGCAACCTGGTCTCCGCCGTATTTGCTCTTGAGCTCATCGATAAAGGACTGCTCCAGTTTGGCGAATAGGGGAGCAGGTTTGCCGATCTTGTGACCAGCGGGAAGCAGCAGAGTGGCCAGGGGTTTGCTGAGGAGTAAGCAAAAATTAAAAACAAACTCAAAAGGAAGTTAAATAAGTACTCACTCTGCATTCAGCGGCGTCTGCTTGGCATTGAGCTGGCCAAACAGAGTCCTGGCCGTGGCTGGCATGTAGGGGAAGAGGAGATTGGCCAGCAGGCAGGCAATGTTGGCACAAAGACCGATGATAGTGGCAGCCCTCGTCTTTTGGTCGGCGCTGCCCTTGAGCAGCACCCAGGGCTGCTGGGTTTGCATGTAGCCATTGCCATGGCGGGAAATGGCAAGCAAATGACGGATGCCATCGCGCAGCTTGGCCTTCTCCAGGGAGTTAATATAACCCCTCAGCTCACGGTTGACCAGGGCCAGCAGGATCAAATCATCCTGGGTGGCCACCACCTCCGGCACCGTGCTGTTGAAGTTCTTCTCGCAGAAGACCAAAGCGCGGTTCACAAAGTTGCCGAGATTATTCAACAGCTCCGAGTTATTGCGCGCCGCCAAATCGTTCCAACTGAAGCTGGAGTCCTGACCCTCGGGACGGGCCGAGGCCAAGTAGAAGCGCCAGACATCCGCGGGAATGCCCGTCTCCTGGGCATCATTGCCAAAGACACCAATGCCGCGACTCTTGCTGAACTTTCCATCCTCATAATTCAGATACTCGGTGGCCATGATGTGGGAGACCAAGGTGTGACCCTTGTTGATGGCCAGCAAAACACTGGGCCAGACCACCGAATGGAAGGGCACATTGTCCTTGGCCATGAACTGGAAGAGCTCTACATCGGTGCCCTTCACGGGTTGCCACCACTGCTGGTATTCCTTGGTATAACGCTTGGTCATGGAGACATAGCCGAAGGGAGCATCGAACCACACGTAGAAGACCTTCTTCTCGAAGCCAGGATGAGGGACAGGAATGCCCCACTTAAGGTCCCGGGTTATGCAGCGTGGCTTAAGGCCCTCCTTCAGCCAGGCTCGGGTGATCACCTTGGCATTGTGTGTCCAGCCGCCCTCTGATTTGTCCACCCAATCCTTGAGGTAGGGTTCCGCCTTGGGCAGATCAATAAACAACTGATCGGAGGAACGTAGGACAGGCGCACTGTTGCACACCTTGCAGCGAGGACGGATTAGCTCGGTGGCATTAACCAGCTTGCCACACTTGTCGCACTGATCGCCGCGGGCATCCTCGTAACCGCAGCCAGGATGCGGGCAAGTGCCCTCCACAAAGCTGGGGAAACAGATTGTGAGAGTTAAAAATCTTGGAAAAAGAAAGTAATCCTAATTAAACCCACCGATCAGCCAGGAAACGATCGCACTTCTGGCAAAGCAGCTGCTCTACGCTCTCTGTGATGATGTAGCCGGCCTTGAGGACATCCTTGAAGGCCTCCTGGACAATGCTGCGAAAAAGAAAAGGTTTCTTTTATAAGATATTCCCTTTAAAATCTCCTTTGTAAACCCACTCCGTTTGCTCCTGGGTCGTGGTGCGTCCAAAGTAATCAAAGCCAATGCCAAACCATCGGTAGATGCCATTGTGCAGCTCAAAGTACTTGTCGCAGATCTCGCGCGGCGTCAGTTTCTCGGCCAAAGCCTTGTTCTCCGTGGCCGTGCCATACTCATCGGTTCCGCAAATCAGCAGAGTATTGTAGCCAGCGGAACGGGAGTAACGGGCAAAGATATCCGCGGACAGAACACAACCAATGATGTTGCCCAGATGGGGAACATTGTTGACATACGGCAGAGCCGATGTGATGAGCACGTTCCGTTGCCCAGCCTTGGGCAGCACTGTTCGCTCCTCCTTAATCTCTTTGGGAGCTGTGTAGGTGAAGGCAGCCTGTGCTGCTTTGATCTCATCATCAGTCACCGTGTCCGCCACAGTGGGCGTGGTATCCACAAGAAGTTTGCCCGCATCTGCCACGCTGAGACGCTTGAGAGGAATATGGTACAAGCCGCCATAGCGATTGGACTGCTGCAGGGCATTGAAGCTGAGGTCTTTCAGCGGCTGCTCAGCCAAGACCTCCTGCACTTCGGGTAGAACTTTAATGCGTCCATACCAATCCCTCAAACGATCCACGTTCTGGGCTCCTTTTAGAGTACCTTCAGGTGCCAGGAGTGACCACACGGCTATGTCAGCGGCGGTTAGTTTGTCGCCAGCCAGAAAAGGTGATGACTGTAGGCTATCGTCCAGCTTCTTCACCAAGGCATTTAGCACGGGCAAAGCATTGGCATCCGCCTTGTGACCCACGGCCATGTGGTGAGCCAGAGCCGGAGCCAGCAACGTGGCAGACCACTCCAGCCACTAAAAAGTAAACAAACCACAATTAGTTTAACCTTCAGGGGTCACCAAAGACTTTTTTGGGAAGCCCTTACCTCGTCCCGCTGCTTTCCCTCGTCCACGAGCAGATACTTGGCAATGGCCGCCGGCGAGAACAGGGAGAGACCATTGTCCAGCTGCAGCGTGGGCAGCACCAGCAGGTCCTTGTACTTGGGATCTGTAAGAGCAACCAGTTATTGCATCAGAAATGAGTCACTGGACCGGGCAGCTTCTAGGAAATCCAAGGGACTTCTCATAGAAAGATTCACTTACCATTTAGGTTAACCAGCTGCACCTGCACCTGCCGCTTGGCGTGCTTGACCAGCATCAGCAGCTGCAGTCCCAGCGGATTGCCCTCGTTCGTATAGATGATCATCTTGTTGGGATCTGGCGCTACTACTAATTCAATTTACGTGGCAGAGAAGGGTTACAAAAAGTTCCAAAGAATTTCTGCCCGCACGCACGAGAAACTATTATTATATAGTGATGGGAGTTTTTAGAATAAAAAGTCACACGTTGTCATCGGAAAGTGTATCGAAAAGCACACTTAGAAACAGTGATTTTATATTCATAATTTATAAAATACATTTTAAACAAGATTTTTAAAACATATAGGTAATTAAATTTTAATCGCAATTCAACTGTGATTTTTTTTTTTTTGCATTTCGCGTAGCAAAATCAAAGTTAGAAAATGCAGAATAGTGGAAATGCCTTAAACCTAAATGTTATCGATTTCTTTCCCAGTCACCATTTAGTGCCATCACTTTGAACAGCTGTTCCGGCATAAAAAGTTGTTATTTACATTTATTTCTTAACAAGAGCCATCTCTCTCGATTTCCAATAATAGCGAAATTAAACACCTGCAAAAATGGGTGAACGCAAGGGCCAGAACAAGTACTATCCGCCGGACTATGATCCTAAAAAGGGCGGCCTCAACAAGTTCCGGGGCACCCATGCTCTGCGGGAACGCGCCCGGAAGATCCACCTCGGGATTATCATTATCCGCTTCGAGATGCCTTACAACATCTGGTGTGAGGGCTGCAAGAACCACATCGGCATGGGAGTGCGCTACAACGCTGAGAAGACCAAGGTGGGCATGTACTACACGACGCCAGTCTTCAAGTTTCGGATGAAGTGCCATCTGTGCGACAATCACTTTGAGATACAAACGGATCCCGGCAATCTGGACTATGTGATCTTGTCGGGGGCCCGGCGGCAGGAGAACCGCTGGGATCCGCTGCAGAACGAGCAGGTGGTGCCGGAAACCAAGGAGGTTCAAAAGCGCCTCTTCGACGATGCCATGTACAAGCTGGAACACCAGGCCAAGGATGCCAAGGCGGCGGCAGACGCCAAACCAGTTCTGCAGAAGTTAGTGGAACGCAACATGAGTGTCTGGGATGACAGCTATGTGGCCAATTGCCGTCTACGGGCCGAGTTCCGCCAGCAAAAGCTAGAGATCAAGGGCCAGCAGGATTTAGATCGTCAGCTGCTGGCCAAGAGCAGTTTGGACATTGCTTTGTTACCCGAGACCAGTGAGGATCGTGAAATGGCCGCCCTGATGAAGCTGCAAACTAAGTCGGCTCTGGAAAGGGAATCCGAGCAGCGACTGGAGCTGCTCATGCGTCCAGCCTTGCCGGGAGCAACTCAGACTACTTTTGGTGGCTTAAAGCGGCAAAAGGCGCTGAACAATCATCTCCAGCTGCAGGATTTGGGAATTAGAAGGAAGAAATTAGAGGAAACGGAAGTGAGTACCTCAAAAGCGAAACCCCAGAGCCTGGTGGGGGACTACTCCTCCTCGGATAATGATTCCAATAGCTGAGTTCTGTGTTATTTGTTTTGAAGATTGAAATATTTGTAGTTTACGAAGATGTTAAGCCGGAAAAGCAAGTTTAATTTAATAAATTTGTTTAGTTTTTTTTAATGTACTTTAGTTTCACATTCGATTTCACATAATAAAATAGTTATTTACAAACGGAACAGTGTACAAAAAAAAAATGACGCCCTAATACATTCCCTCATTGGGATCCGCACCATCTGCCGAGCTTGCATCCTCTCCGTTGGCCTGGCCATCCATTGGAGCCACGATCACCGTCTGGATGCGTTCACAGAGATCCACCATTTGGTTTTTGCTAATCATATCCATAATTAGGTTCTCGATCATGAGTAACTTTCGGTAGGACAAATCGCGATTTTCAATGGCACTTTCAATCCTGAGACTTAGGGTCTGAGTTTCGCCAATTAGTTCCTTGAGAGTATCATCGTCTTCTAGGTGTTCCTGCTCCGCCTGCACCGGCTTGGTGAGAGCTTCCTCCTCCTTGGCGAAACCACGCGGCCTGATGGGCTTGATCACCGGGGCATTGGCCAAGGACATTTTGTTCTCCAAGCTGGGTGCTTGCGAGTCAAAGAACTTCTTGAACCACTGCAGGAATTCAAAGTTATCCTGGAATCTGCCCTTGATGAGGCGATCAATGGGCACCGTCTTGTCCAGCTTCAAGCGGTTGAAGGCGCTCTGGAAGAGCTTCAAATTGTGCAAGTACTCGTGCTCCAGTTTGGCGCTCATCTTCACCCGCTTCATGTTGATGCAGTTGGGGAAGATCATCTCCATCATCTGGCAGTAGGCGGCACCTGGTGGGAAATCGAGGGTTATGACGAAAAGCTCTTGATTGTATGAGTATATCCTCACCAGAACAGAGCTCCTCGATCTTCTTAAATTGGCCCTGCACCATGGTGTTGACCCACTGCAGCATGTCGTGGCGGGACATGTTCTCTCCGTTGACGCTGGTCAAGGCTACAGTTAACTTCAGATCACTCATTATTTCTTTGTTTTTGTTCGTTTGTAAAAATGTCTTCCTTTTACGGTTATTCCTCCTTACAAGAATTTTCTTTTACAATTTTTGTGTTGCCTAATTTTAGTTTAAAATTTATAGCTTGAGTTATAGGCAATAACTGACGATGTGAGCTTCAAGGCCAGCCTGCTTCTCACTCGAGATTTAACAATTTAAAATAAAGGTTTCTTGGTTTTGATGAACTATTTATTCCTTCTGAATTTTGCACTGAACGCCGATTCCCGATTGCAATGCTTCCAGGATCAGAGATGGGAGGAACTCAGGTACTTGGTACCTGAAGCATAATTTAGGTACCAAAATAATTAAGTATATTTTCCTTTACCTTAGAGTTATGACTCCATTCTTAGTATTTGTTTTAATTATGGGAAATAATATGCTTTCCAATATTTAATATTATTTAAATAAATTATAGCAAAATGTAAGTTAGCAATGAAATTAAGTTAATCAAAAAATGTCTGTAAAATAAATAAACCATTATAGTATAAAACCGGTTACATTTATACTGCAAATATAATATTTTAGAGTTTTTAAGAATTTAGAGTTATTAAAAAATCAAATATACTAAGGATATCAATAATTTAAGGTACATTTTATCGCTTTGCGTTATCGATATCCCATAAAAGCCGCGATTTTTGAAAAGGATCAACAGATCTAAGAGTTCTAAATACCCTCTCTTTATCTTCAACTTTCTTTCCACCGTCTTGGCAAACTCGATAAAGTCCTTGTACAGGACATTGGGAACCTCAATGGCAGCAAAGTGACCGGCCTGCTTGTGATATGCACCAGGTTCCTGTACTTATCCTGCAGCTGGAAGTCCAGAAACTGCATCAAGTCACTCTGAATAAAAGGTGGCCATGTTGCTGCCCGCTTCTCCACCCTGGATAAAGAACTTGTCGTAGCCCATGCGCAACATAAGGCTTCTCATCATAACAGCCATCTGAGTGGGACCCAGCATAACACCCGACATCTCGTGCCATCAGCGGTTCCAAACACACCGACTTTGGGCTCCACTCTTATTGTAGCTTTAGTTGCAACAATTCTCACACATCATCCCAGCACAGCGCTCCATTCCGCCGCTCACGATGATAAGCGACTTTGAGTGACTGCCTCACTTTCGATCAGTTAAGGCTTATCGCCGGGTTTGGAGACGTCGTAGAGGCTTCCGAAATCGTTTATTTACCTGAAAAGCTTTGGTGTTTGAAGCTTTTCTAGGGGTTCAGATCGTCGGGAGATATATAAACAAATAGATAAGCTGTCTGCGGCACACCGACAACTCATTTACTTAAGTAAATTACATTTTAAATTTAAAAAAAAATGTTGTTCTGTTTTATTTTTTCTCTACAGAGTCTTAATCTTAAACTTGCGCTCCACCGTCTTCACAAAGTCAATAAAGTCCTTGTACAGGACCTTGGGTACCTCCAATGCAGCAAAGTGTCCGCCCTGCTTGTAATAGGTGCTGTGCACCAGGTTCGTGAACTTATCCTGCAGTTGGAAGTCCAGGAACTGCATAATATCGCTCTTGAAGCGGGCACATCCCGTGGGCACTGAGGTTGGCACGCGCTCCAGGTGCAGGTCTCGCTGCTCCTGGGCATACTGCTCCGCATAGAGACGCTGCGAAGTGGTGATCGAGTTGGTCAGGTAGTAGATCATCAGGTTGTCCAGCAGGGCGTCCATCTTGTAGCGCTTGGTGAGACCTCCATCCTTTAGGGATCGGTAACTGGGATTTGTCCAAGTGGAGAACTTCTCCAGAATGTAGGCAGCCAGGCCCACGGGATTGTCGGTGAGGGCAGCTCCAACGGTATCCGGTTTGGTGGCTTGAAGGTGGAAATAGCCACTCTCCTCCATCAGGTACTTGATTTCGTTGGATTTCGGGAAGAAGAAGTCCTCGAAGCCAGAGGGAGCAAATAAGCTGGGCAGGAAACCGGCCACGAAGCCCTTAACTAGGGATTTCGGGCTCAAGTTGTTGCACATATTGGAGTGATAACCCAGGACATTCTCAGGATAAAGGGTGGCGATATTGCTGCCTATGATGCTGCCCCAATCTCCACCCTGGATAAAGAACTTGTCGTAGCCCAGGCGCTGCATGAGGTTCTTCATTATCACGGCCATCTGGGCGGGACCCAGACCCTTACGCCGGGTGCCCTGCAAGGTCAGAGAAGCATTACTTGAAGAACCTTTAACAATATCATTTAATAATTTACCTCTGACCAGCCATAGCCCGGCAGACTGGGCACCACCACATTGAAGATATACTTGTTGTTCTTGTCCAGGTTGCTCTGGTGCAGCAGATGGATCATGTCGTAAAACTCCCTCACCGATCCCGGCCAGCCATGGAGCAGCAGCACCGGATAGTGCTGCTTGCCCACCTTGTTCTCGTCGTAGACCATCAGGTGGAGGAAGTGCATGCGTAGCCTGAAATCCGGGCCAAGCCCATCTACCTTTACTATCTTCGGATATGATAAGTGGCTCTTATCTCACCCCTGAATGTCGGTGGTGAAGTGGTTGAACTGCCACAGGAACACCTCGCGTTCGCGCCAACGCGGCAAGTAGTCATCGCGCCAGTATTCCACGACTTCCTTGAGGTAATCCGTGTTGAAACCATACTCAAAGGCCACTCCCTCGAGAGGCGGTGTAAGGCGCAAGGTGCGGTTAAGGCGATCTTTCAGGTCTTGGATGGTCTGGAGGAATACTGGAGAGTTATCTATCATTCCACCCACTGATGTGTCCTCTCACCTTTTCCGGATAAGAGAGCCTGTTGCCTATGACTTCCGAAGAGTTGACCAGATAGGCCGCATAATCCTTGGGCTCTGCATCATCGCCCCACCACTGCTGGGGATCCAGCTTTGGTTTGGGCAAATCTCCCCACAGTTGGCTCACATTCTTGTAGACCAGTCCAGCGCCAATGGCCAGAATGAGGACCAGAATTTTGAACGTCACACCAGACATCTTGTGCTATCAGCGGTTCCACTCACACTGACTGTGTTGCTCTATTTGACGACGATTCCCACCTATCATCGCCGCTAGCACAGCTCTTGATTCCGCCGCTCACCATGATAAGCGATTTTGAGTGACCGGCCGCCCTACACTCGATCAGTTAAGGCTTATCGCCGGGCTTACTTTGGACTCCACTGAGACGCCTAAGAGGCTTGCAAAATCGGGGATGATGCGGCTTTAATTGTTTGTTTATTTACCTAAGAAAAAGCTTTGGTGTTTGAAGCTTTTGTCGGGGCTACGATCGGCCAGAGAAACCACTGACTGAGAGAGAGACTCGGCCACGAATTATTGATTTATTTTGCGACGCAGCTGGGGTTGGGCACTTAGGTAGAAATACCCTGGGGTTTTGGGAGTGAAAAGGGGTGACTTAGACTGAGGATAAACAGAAAAAATAATCCAAATCTGGAGAAAAGGAATATAAATAAATGTTTTTTAATTTTTCGTTGATTAAAAAGGGGAATGAATTAAAAATAATAAGATGCTTATAAGAATAGTTTTGGCTTTAAAAGACACTTTAGGTATAAATACAAACCCATAACAAAGGGTATACCCTATAAACCCATCACTCAAAAGTTACATAAGACTCTCCAGAGCTCAGATTTATCTATACTTCCATATATATAGAAAATAAATAAAAACCAGGGGTAGGTTCTCCACTCTTGTCTCGACTTATCTCCCCCCCAAGACCCAACGAAAAACTCTTTAACTTTCAGTTTTCACAAAGATAAGGAACGCTTTATCACCAAGCCGATTTTTACCTTGATTTTCACAACTCAAATGACAATTTACAATGAATTCTTAAGACTAATCATAACATCAAATCCCTTCAAGAGAAGTTGGCCTTCTTAACAAAGGCAATAAAGTCCTCGTACATCTGCTGGGGCAGCTCGAAGGCCGGAAAGTGTCCGCCGTCGGGATGGTGGGTGCTGTGCACCAGATTGGGGAACTTGTTGGCCAGCACTGCATCCGGGGCATGGATTATCTCATGGGCAAAGCGAGTGCAACCAGTCTTGGCCAGTATAGGCAACCTGTCCACCTCCAGGGCTAACTGAGCCTTGTTCATGGACTCCGAGTACAGGCGCATCGAGGTGGTTATGGAGTTGGTCACATAGTAGATCATCACATTGTCCAACAGCTGGTCATAGGTGAATCTCTTGGTCAGGCCGCCATCGGGGAGATCCCTAAACTTCAGGTTTGTCCACGTGGAGAACTTTTCCAGGATGTAGGCCGCCAGACCCGCTGGATTATCGATCAAGGCATTGCCAATGGTGTCCGGCTTGGAGGCCTGGATATGGGCATAGCCCATCTCCTCGGTAATGGTGGCCCACAGGTGACCCAATCCCTTGTAGTAATCCACATACTGGCTATCGATAAACCAGCTGGGGAAGAAGGAGGACAGCACTAGCTTCAGGCTGCCCATGGGACTGTTGTTGCCGCACATATTCGAGTGATAGCCCAGCACATTTTCCGGGAAGAGACCGGCCAGATTGGAGCCAATCAAGGAGCCCCAGTCGCCGCCCTGCACCAGGAACTTTTGGAAACCGAGACGAACCATCAGGTTGCGCATCACCACGGCCACTTGGGCCACGCCGAAGCCAGTTTTTGATGAGCCCTGGAAATGCAAAGAGGCAAAGAGGGATTTAGTTCAAAGTTGAAAGATATATTTTGTATGTTAATAGGGTTGACTTGCTTGTTGGCAAATAGCAGAGATATTTCAGGGATTTTTAAAAATTTGCCAAGCCAATAAAAGCTTTAAAGTTATTGGCAACCTTAAACTCAAATAGGGGAACTTTTCAAAGCGTAAAACAACTTCATTAATAAAAGCTATTAATCACTCAAAATGCAATATTAATTTTCTGATTTGCAAACTTTAAAATTAAGATGAAACATTATACAAGTCTGCATAATATATCAATCAAGACATTAACCCTTTTATGTAAGAGATAATTACCTGAGACCATCCATAGCCCGGCAGACTGGGTGCAATCACCTCAAACACATAGTCACTCTTATCGTTGGGTGTAGTGAGCAGGGGAATAAAATCGTAGAATTCCCGGACAGTTCCAGGCCAGCCGTGCATCAGGAGCAGGGGCAGCACCTTTTTGCCCTTAACGCTTTTGGGCTTGGCATGTATAAAGTGAATTTTCAAGCTGCAAATTCAACATCAAAATAAAAACAAACGACGAGAGGTTAATATCTGGGGTTAATATGTTCAACTAATTATGGAAAAGGTGAGTTCTAGCATTTGCTTACCCCTGGATTTCAGTCTGGTAATGATTTAGCTGCTTGAGGAACTGCTCTCGCTCGCTCCACTTGGCCAGATAAGTGTCACGCCAGTATTTCACCACCTTGGCCAGTTCCTGGGAATTGAAACCATACTGGAAGCCCACGCCCTCTAGAGGGGCTTGGGCCTTAGAGGGGCGACTTAGCTGGGCCTTGAGGTCTTCAATTACCTGAGGGGAAGGGAATTTATATAATAAATAATATATAAAATATTATAATCATGTTTTTAGAGAAAAGTAAGGCCCCATAACTACCTAATATTAATTCTAAAAATATTTCCCCACTCACCTCTGGCTTCACACTGATGTCATAGGGCAATACAGCCTTGTTTTCCTTGTAGGGCTCTTTGGACTTGGGTCCCCAGTAGGCATTGTTGTCCAGATCGGGCCTCTTGCCGGGCAACGAAAGATCCTTATAGTTTTTGTAACCCACGGCAGCTAGCATGGCCAGGCCACCGATCAAGATCCGCACCCAGACATTCGCCATTATATACTTCTATATTATATATATAATGTAAAGTAGATCTCCTCCTCTAAGGCAGCTGCTGTTCCAGTACGATCGTCGAACACAAATGATTTTATTTTGTGAAAAAGCCGGCAAAGGAAAGCTTTTTGCTCGCTTGTGGAAGCCATGTGGAGGGCAAGCACAGCTGCACTGCAATGCGAGCATGATAAAGCGAAAAAAGAGTATATTTTTGAGGAGCTTTAACCGAATGAAGCTTTAAAATTGAATAATATTGAAAATGATCATGAACATGCTGTTCATTTATCAGCTGGCAGACGCCTAAATTGAATGTTTGCAACTCACGCTTAGAATATAAATAGATATTCCTCAGGTAAAAATATAAACAAGGAGCGTGAATTGAAGCAAGAATGATATAATATAATGATGATTATGAATTTCAATTATCAGCACGCCAAAGTTTTCAAATTGAATTGAAGACAGCTGATCTAAGCTGTGTATACTTCAGTTAAAATCACTTAAATATTTTAAATTATAAATACAATAATAAAAAAGGGTAGTAAAAATAAATGTTCTTTAAAACTAAGTCATTAAACATTATATAATCAATTTTGATGACCATTTTATGACTGAATTGGCACTAAATCAACCACAAACTCAGCCAATTTCAGGCTACCGACCCCGCCTTTGTTGTTCTTATGTTTACAATACTGTCATAATAACCGATAAAAATATTATTTACCCATAAAAGTAACTTCTTTTTTTGGACAAAAATAAACAAAAACAAGCAATTCCGATAGCTGCAATTAATCTACGAGTCTGATAGCCAGCGCAGTTTGTTCCCCAAGCCAAAAGTACAAAGTTCGCAGTTTTAGTAAAAACATAAAATATAAAAAATTTATTTTGGCTGCTCGCCATGCAGACCCAGCTTGCCCACAAAGGCGGTAAAGTCATTATAGAGCATAGCTGGCATCTCCAGAGCAGCAAAGTGGCTGCCCTGCTGGAAGTACATGGAGTGCTTTAGGTTGGGGAACTTGTCCCTCAGCTGCCAGTCCGTAACCGAAGGCAGATCATAGCGGAAGCGGGCACAGCCCATGGGAACGGGTGACTGAACCCTGTCCAGTTGCAGATCCCGGTACGCCTTGGACACATTCTCCAGATAGAAACGCCCCGCTGTGGTGGCCGAGTTGGTCAGGTAGTAAACCATCAGGTTGTCTAGCACCGCCTCCAGACCAAAGACCGTGACAATGGCACCAAAGTCCTGCTGCAAACCAGGATTTGTGCAGGTCTGGAACTTCTCTAGGATGTACGAAGCTAGACCCACCGGGCTGGAGGTCAAGGCAGCTCCAATAGTATCCGGCTTGGTGGCCTGAATGTGGAAGTAGCCGCTCTCCTTAAGCAGCTCCAGCCACTTGTCCCAAATGGGGAAATGATGATCAAAAAAGAATCTCGAGGGCAGGTACTTCTCCGGATAGAAGCTGCCATAGATGCCCTTGAGGATGGCCAGGGGAGAGTGCAGAACACACATGTTGGAGTGATAACCAATGACATTCTCTGGGTAAAGAGTGGCGATATTGCTGCCAATAATGCTGCCCCAGTCACCGCCTTGGATGAAGAATTTCTTGTGGCCCAAACGCAGCATAAGGTTGCGCATTACGGTGGCCATTTCGGCGGCATTGAAGCCGGGACGGGTGGCGGCCTGGTTAGAGAATATGATTTAATATTTTATAATAATTAAATAAATATATAATTTAAGCTTATACTCACATCAGACCAGCCATAGCCCACCAGAGAAGGTGCCACCACCTCGAAAGCATAGTCCGTAATATTGGTTTCCTTGGTGAGCATGGGGATAAAGTCAAAGAACTCCCTCACTGATCCCGGCCAGCCATGGAGCAGCAGCAGGGGATACACATGCTTCTTCTCCTGGGCCTCCGGCGAGGCCTTCTCATGGATAAAGTGGATGTTTAGACTAAAAGGAAAATCAAAATGTTACTAAGAATCTCTTAAAGATATAAAGTTCATCCTATAACTTACCCCTGAATCTCGGTGGTGTACTGCTTAAAAGAGTTAAACAAAGCCTGACGCTCATCCCACTTGGTCAGGTACTTGTCCCGCCAGTAGTCCACAAACTGCTCCAAGGCATAGGTATTGAAGCCATACTCAAAGGAAATTCCGTCCAGCGGTTCGGTGAGCTTCAGAGTGCGATTCAGCTGCTGGCTAAGATCATCAATCTCCTCCTGTGGCACATTCAGTTTGAATTCATAGAGCTTGGTGTCCGGCTTATAGTCCTTGACATCGCCTGGGCCCCAATAAGTGTCATCCTTGAACTCCGGTTTGGGCAGCGGCTTTGTGAGATCCGTGAACACCAGGTAACCGTAGCCGGCAAAGGCACCAAACAGGGCCACAATCACCGCAAACACTATCAGGCACTTCATGGTTCGTCTCGAATTTAAATGAGCGAATTCCACGCAAGATAATGGGTCTCTTTTATGATTCCCACCTGGAGAATCCGAAGATCCACACGACTACCCAGCCAGAAAGCTAGAAATGAACTGACTGTCCGCCGGAGAATGGGTCTCAGTCTAAATGCCGGCGTAGCTCTATCGGAAAGCTTAGGTAGTATGTGTCCGTATAGTATTTATAAATTCATTTAGATTATACCTGCTGTTTGGGGGCTATCGCACACAGTGGGTCGGAATACGCGGAGTCATGCTACACTTTGCTCTATGAACCCAATTTTTATTAAGGGTTAATATTCAGGGTTTTTTTTTATATATTTAAAGTCCAAGTCCAATGATGGGATATACTTGGGATGGAAGGGAATATACAAAAAATATAATAATAATAAACATAATAAATATATAAATATATCTTTGTGATTTATAAATGGATATTTGATGAATTTTAATATAGAAATCGATTATTTAACATTAAAATATCGAAACAATGTAATCGAAAAGGGAGAAAAATAAAATAAATACAATAAAATCGAGTACTTTTTGTATAGTACACATTTTATAACATTGATCGATATTTAAAAATCGATCAATAAAAATGTACGATAGTTTCGATATTATGTTTTGTGAAAAATGTTTGTCTATCATTTCTATCGCACTTTTCCTATCGATATATGTACTTTTTGATTTTTAATTTAATATACATAAATTTTTTTTATATTTCATAATTATTTTATTATTTTCTGTTTCGATATAAATTCTTTATTTCTATAAAAGATTTTATTATTATTTATAAATATATATATATTCCCGAGTAACCCAAGACCAAGGTACCATTAACTTTCTTAACTTGCCCACGTCTGCACCTTCCTTAATGGCCCGTCGACGATTTTCCGTCGGAGATACGCTGACCCACACACCCAAGTCCGCCAGACACAAGTGCACCAAGTATCCGGAGACTAGTATGTGAGGGTGACATGGGAATAGCCGCACCTACTTAAAAGTCATCATAATCTTATCGTAGCTCTCAAAGAACTTATTTATTGATTAGCGCTACGCCGGCAACAGATCGTAAATCTCAGCCCTTTGGCTACTGATGATGTGGCCCAAACAAACAAAATACGAAAAAAATGAATGAAAGTAGAAGTATTTAAAGGTTTTATTAAATGAAATTACAAGGAAAATAATAAAAGTTTGCTACTGAAAGCTCTTATCTATTGAAGATGGAATAACCCTGATTTTATTGACATAATATTATAGTACATAGGTTTGTTCATTAAAAATGTAATAAAACAATATTTAAAATGAATCATTAAAATTCCTACCAAGAATCCTTCAGGAAAATATCATAGTTTTGGGCATATCCTTTAGCTTGAGCTTTTTAATTTGCATTTCGCTAGAAAAACTATAGTTTTTACACATTTTCATTGTTTTAAAATTACTACAATTTCCCCCAACTGTCTCCAAAGAAACCCCTTAGGATAATTTTTTTCCGGCAAACAATTATGCTGTCGACATGCAACTAAACTAAAGGATCTATCCAAAGAGCACAGGACCCCGGGTAAATATCCTGCACAAAAGTGCCGCCAAACATGCAAGACACAGAAAAACAAAAGGAGGCGTAAACAATTTGATGTGAAAGGTAATTCGAGTGAAATTAACGCAATTACCCAGCCGCAGCCAAAGGACTCGAGTTCACTTCCGATGCAATGCAGCTAAAAAAAAAAGAGGAAAAACTGGGAAAACGGAAAAACAAAAAATAGAAATAAAATCCAGAAAAGTTTGCTTGCGTGCCGCAAACAAATCGCATTGATACTTGGAAGCGTGTCAAAGCTGCCACCTTTCGGGGGGTAATAGAGAGGTTCCCCTAAGCTTTGCAGGTTCTCCAGGATTCCCCCAGGTTCCTAGGTTCCTGGGTTCTAGGGTTCCTACTACCTTACCCCGGAGGTAACACTCCAATCGTTGGCCATTAATGTCGGCTCCCATTTTATTGAGTGCTCCAGTTACGGGCCAAAAGTTTGGGACTCCGTGTAGCCATGGGCAACTCCCTGGGTCTTCGTCCCGCCTCCTGGGAAAAGGTCCCTTTTGCGGTGGGCGTGGTCTTTACTTAATGGTCGCAATTAGTTTTTCATCGAGCCAAAGCGACACGCACTTGTCGTAAAGTCCGTTGACCCTGTGGCTAAATTGATTTTCATTCGGGCAGGCCACATTCATTCAGTGATTCAGTTGTTAAATTTGTCTAATATAATATATGCTATTTATAAATGGGAGAAAACTATGCCAAATGAAGAAAATAAGCGTCGATTTGTCATTGCCACCTTGGCCACATGGAATATTTTGGCAGGATTTGGGTTCTATGCCTATATCTTGGATTGTTATGGTGGGTTATAAATAGAAATTCGAAAAAAAATTAAATCATTTAAAGTGCTACATTTTTGACATGTAAATTAAGGCTTGCTGGGTATAGAAATAAATTTTATTTTGTTTAAAAAAATGAAGTATTTCCACATATAAAAATCTTTTAAAAATAATAATAGCTTTAATTGCATTTTAAATTTTATTTAAATTGTAAAAGGTTTCTCTTTCAATATTAAGGTTTTTTTATGTTTTTTAAAAACTATTTCTTGTATTATTTTTCCTTAGTATATTATCCCCCAAATCACCAGAAAAGAAAGTTCAAATACCACACTTTCTATGGAACTATTAACCAGGATGTACTAATAGGAATTTCTGTGGTTATGGTTTGCCAAATAATATCCTCAGTTCTACTGTGCTTGGCATTAAAAGAGGTGAGTTTATATTTTAAATTACAAAATTCAATAAAACTGGTAAAACATGTTTTATTTTACAGTACAAAAACCAATTCTTATTTTATGGAATTTTCCTGAGCATGGCTTTTCCTTGTGCTTGTCTTCCAGTTTGGCCTCTGGCGGGTAGGTATTTTACTATAAACAATCTATTTACCATACTTATTAATTTTTAATTCTTCCTTTTCTGCAGTTGCTCATGTTTCTTTAGCTTTATGGGCACTAAGTTATAAAGAGCAATAAAATAAAATAAAAATATAATATGATAAAGTATATTTATAAATAAATATTAAAGTAAATTTAGTAATAAATATTTTTTAGGTTTTTATGAAGGCAAAAGTTATTTGTTAGAGGTGGACTTTTGCTTTGAAATATATTGATGAAAGCCCAAGAGTGGGCTACAAAAATATATAATTTCTACTCTTGCATTAAATTAAATTGAATTAAGCTAAAGTCAAATTTGCCATAAAGGTTATAAGAATTAAAATTACAAATTTAAAAGAAAAATTAGCAAAAAATTATTTATTTCTTTAAACAAAATGTGTATTATTAATTATCAAGAAACTTCATTGCCTAAAAGTCTGCCAGAATGAGTAATAAAATCCAATAACTGATAAGCAGAGAATTTTGAACAACAAAATCTTTGTTTATTTATATAATATTCTACATAAAATATATAAAAAGAGCTAAGAACTTATTTTAATTGTAAAGAAGTCCTTCAAAGTCCCAATCACCCTGGGCAATATCTCCGACTGGAATTTCCTGCTTTTCCGGCGGACCCTCCCTCTGGCCATCCTCCAGCTCATAGTCAGATTGGCAGGTGACGTGTCCCAGCTGTGAATTAAATAACAATTGAAGCAAGGTTCTCTTAATTTTTGTTAATGAATTTTTAATTTATTTTTACTCACCCAGCAACAGACCAAGAGAAAGGCCAATATTTTCATAAATATTGATTGTAACAACAACATTTTTCCTCACTGCCAGCGAGCTCGACGACTGTCGATGGGAAACTGTGTCTGCTTTTCTCTGTTTATTTACTTTTACGTTTGCCCGCTACAGCTCTCTCAATCAATTAATGCGTATTAAATATTTATATTTGTATTTATGTTTGTTTACAAGCATCGGCGCTTTATCTGCCGCCGTTGCTACAGTTTTATATTAACTCGTGTGACAATGAAAAGGTCGATGTTTCGCCAGCTATTTGGGAGGGGAATTTAAAATGAATTTTAAAATGATAGAGAGTGTGGATTTTATTTAAGAAGAGACTTGGGTATTTAATAAGATTTTTTAAGGAATTTATTTTGGAAGTATGTGGGTTTATTTAAGCTTATTTTAAACATTTGAAAATTAAGCTAAGTAGGTTTTAAATGGGTTTCGGTGGAGACATTTTTTCAGTATGCCTTAGACAGTTCTTTAAATAATTAAAAATATAAACTTCAAGGTTTTTTATTAGGGTTTATTTTTTTATCTTAATTTTAAAGTATGTATATAGTCTTAGGGAATAATATACTTTAGGTTTTTTATTCAGTTTCTAATATTTGTAAAAAATGTTGTCTAAATTTTTTGCAGTCTATTTAATTTATTTATTCCTCAGGTTTCCCTTGTCTATTTTATTTATTTATGACCTATAATAAAGATGCTCCATAAAAATAAATAAATATAGAAAACAAGATCCCCTTGTGGGAATCCCTCTCAGCTGATAAGCTTCCATCGGGGATTCCTTTAGCCACCATTGCACCTATAAAGGAGCTGTGCATCTCTGCCATCAGTATCAGTCAGCTAATACCAGCTCTCACAAACAGAAGATCAACCAAGATGCAGTCCACCACCATCTTTATCCTGCTTTCCTGCATTATCGGAGCAACTCTAGCCAGCCCGATGCCAAAGGAGGATATGACCATGCCCTCCACACCACCACCGTCGTATCCTTTGAATCTCCAGGGCGGAGGTGGTGGCCAGCGCGGCGATGGCTTTGGTTTCAATGTCGGTGGCAGCCAGAATGTCTGGAGAAGCGATAATGGACGCCATGAGGTGGATGTGAATGCACGATATGGCCAGCACTTGGGTGGACCCTGGGGTAACTCCCAGCCGAGCTACGATATTGGCACCGTTTACCGCTACAGATTTGGAAAGAATTAAGTTTATACAAGGAAATGTTTACTCTAAATTCTGAAATTATTAACAGTCTTTATGTATTTTAAAATATTTTGGAAAATAAATCTTTAAAAGTATTTTTTTGTACATGTTTCAATGGCAATTGGGCTTTAGATTCTAGATAATAAACCGCACTTTAAGCATCCAGGCATCCACGGTGTTTTTTTTATCTGATTAAATATGAAATAAATTACCAATTATAAGCATATGTCTACCTGTTCATAATTTCCATATCTAAAATGGCATCAGAGTCCTTGGGTTTCTATTTAAACCCGGAACATTCAGGCACATTTTGTGAGACACTGAGGCTGGGTCACAGATGATCTTGCAGTTTGGCTAATTGTGGATACACATCTTGTTTGGGCAACTCGGTTGGGTAATAACAAATTAACAAATTACGATGACAGGCGGTCTTAATGAAACCTGCCAAGACAAAGTGTTTGTTTGTAGCTTTTTTTGTTTTTTGCATAAACTGTCGAGAGAACCTTCGATGGAAATTTATCATGCCTTTGCCAAAATATTACGCCATATCCCCTTGTCAAACGAAAGCGAATAAGATGAGTTAAGACTACAAATTGGCCAAGAAAAAATGATTCATGAAGATGATTCCACGTTCTAAGCCCATTTTACAACCAAATTTGGTTATTACCACGTAAGCTTTTGACATCATTAATCTGACCTGGAGGAAACCCGAATTGAGTTGACCTTGCGGATGAAGAATGATGAATTGATTCTTGGAGGTAACCGGCGGAACCTGTGGGTTGTTTATTTTTATTTTTTATTATTTTTATGGGTTCTTGTTGGCCAGGAAATCGCTTGTTGGGGGAAAGTAATCTCTAGTGGGAGATTTTTTATTGGGTTTAGCAAACCAAAAAGGTGGAGTTCTTGAAAATTGAAATACAGAAGCTGCGAGAGTTAGTAAAAGTTTGTGATTTATTATGGGGAAAGAAGATCAGGTCATTGGAAGAAAGTATGTACTAAAATTTTATTGAGAACATTAATTTTTGAAGTTTTATGGAGCGAAGAATAAATAAGTTTAGGGATCAAAAAAATTGTAGAAAGTGCTTCAGATTATAAAGAATATATAGTAAAATTTCTCTTTCATTTTAATAAGTTTATTTAATGTTAGAAAATAAACTAAGATTAATAGGTAAGCTTTTTATTATTAAAATATTATAGAAGATGTTTGAGATAAGTCAGAATTATTTGTTTAAAATATCTTTCATTAGGAAGACCCTTAGAAAATATATTAAAATGTTATTTATTTCTTGTTTAATACCTAAAATAAATTTTATAATATATAATAATGATACCGTGAACACTACCTCAAGGTATTTATGATTAAAAAACGTTTTGCATAAATAATTAAAAATTAATTAAGAACAAAATATATAAGTAATGATTTATATGAGTTGTAAATGTTGACATATTATTTATTAAAAATGCCAGGAGGCTGTTGTAACTGCTGACACATGTGTAATAAATGCATGTTAGCCATAATATTGCTAATTGATTGCCAGTACTCCCCCTTAAACAACAACTGAGTGACAATTATTGGCCCAACTGAGCACACATGAGTGATTCTTCAACCTCGAGATGGTGGTGAATTGTGTCTTGGTGGGATTTACTTAGTTGCCAGTCGGCTTCTGTTTGTACTACGCCCGACCTCCTTATCAAGCAGCTGTGGGGATCCACTGGTGAACCACTCAACTGTTCTGGCCTCTCGAGTGGGATTCCCTTTTGGGGAATCATCTGCCCATATTGATAAGCAGACGTTGCTCTGAAATTTGGTATATAAACACCTGCCATTTAGATTCTAGCCACATACAGTTGACAGAGTCGAAACAAAGCAAAATGCAGTTTGCCACCAGTTTTCTACTTATTGCCCTGGCCTGTGCCTTCTCCAGTGCCTGGGCTTATCCCCAGCCTAATCCTCAGCAAAAGAATCCTCCTAATTTTAATGTAAGTTGGAAATAACAATTTACAAATATTTTGTTATAAATTTTATTTAATATTTATATTGCAGTTCACCCCGCCCCCAGATCGTCGTCCCTTCCAACTGAATGGCGGTGGTGGTGGCTCACCCAAGCAGGGCTTTGACTTGAACCTCAATGCCCAGGCTCCTGTTTGGCAGAGTAACAATGGACGCCACTCCTTGGATGCCACTGGCCAGTATGGCCAGCACTTGGGAGGACCCTATGGCAACAGCCGTCCTCAGTGGGGAGCTGGTGGAGTCTATACCTATAGGTTCTGAAAAAAAGCTAAGCCCGAGCTACTTAATACCTTTGTAAATATTATAAAATAAATACAATATATTCCCTCCAAGCAATATTTACATTTATTTATTTACCATTTAAAATTTAATACTATTTTATACTTTAAAATTTATACATTTCCCCACCAAGACTGTGACCCAAGTCAAGCTCCTTATCGGTTTGATTGTAGACAAAGATTGTGGCATCAGGCTGCGGACCTAGAAACTTTCAACACAAAAGGCGATTTTAAGTAGGTTTTTCAAGGAGAACACAAAACTAAGCCAAGTACTGACCTCCTGCTGCCACTCGTCCAGCTCTCCAACCGAACGCCCTTGGATGCGGCCAAAGAGGTAGAAAATAAACCAGAGACTCAGAATGCCCAACATTTCACCGAGAGTTGCACCGTCCGACTGAATGTATGCCCTCGGCTTTCAATTTTACTCGTAATTTTTAACCTCCCCAACTGATAAGACCCTGATAAGGCCGACGAGGGGCTGTCGTCTCTGTCTCTGGATGTGTGTCAAGACTAGAGACCCAGACCAGGCACCAGAGACCCAACCAGACCAGACCAGACCAGGTCAAAGCTAAAGCCTAAGCCAAGCCCCAGACCCAGCCGAACTGTATTTAATTTTTTTGGGGAACGTGCAACTTGGCAACCGAATTTGGCACGTTTTCTGTTGAAATCGAAAAGAAGCCAAAACAAAAGCAGCACACCGGATCCAACCGACCGACAAAAATGGCAAAGAAAAACAAATTTAAATGTTAGAAGCAACACAACAATGAAGGTCAGGCTATGATGACTTTTTTTCAATGCACCAAAAACCGCTGAAAACTGAAAAAAGAAAACCTTAAAAAATATCAGAAATTTCGTTGCGCTTTTGCCTCCGTTTTGTTTTTGTTTTTTTGAGTCTTGGGAGTCTCTGGCGTTGTCTTGGGCTAACTGGGCAAGTTGCTTTTTGATGGCTTCAATTTCTGTCCAATTTTCTTTGGGATACCCTGTAGAGGGGTAGATTGGGACATTCCAAAAGGGAATTCTTGAATGGGAATCAAGTGAGCATAAAAATGTCTCTATTTTAAAATTCCAGAAAATTCCTTTTTATAAAAAAGGTGGTTTTTAAAATAAGTTTTTAATAATATTATTTTATTTAGACGTCAAACTGAATGGGTGTCACTTGGCTTAGTGGCTTAAAATACCTCTAAACTTTACAAGAGTATTAATTTAATACTTCATTCAGGGAAATTTTGACTTTAATTGCAGCTTACAAATTAATTATAATTTATATTAATAAAATAAAATTTTCAACAGCCCATAAATTCGTATTAAAGCCTCATGAAACTTACCAAAAAACTAAGCTTCCCTCACTAATTTTCCCTGGGTATTCCCCACCTCTTTATACCCTAAAAAACTAACCCTATCTCACCGAGTTTTCTCCTCTATTTTCCATGTCATTTTCATATGGAGAGCAGTAGTGCTTCAATTCAGTGGAAGAGCTATTTTCTAAATCAATGCGCAAATTGTCAAAGTCAAAAGCAAGAGAATTCCTTTTGTTTCGCTCTGTTTTCCTTTTTGCTGCTGCTGCTGTTGCTGCCACCGAGGAAAATTGGCCCCCGTCTAGGAAAACTGTTCGTGGAAAGCCAAAGGAGGAGGAGGAGGTGGAGTGGATTTGGATTGTTTTCCAAATTGCACATGTGGCATGGGGCAGTCAACTCATTTGTCAAGTGGCAAATCAGTTTAGGCCAAGCCAGTAAGACGTAGAAACAGAGAGCCAAAAGACCAACTTCGAGTCGGCGATAAAATCAACTTTGCATGGAAAACCATGTGCTCTAAACGAGGGGGAAAATGCGCTGATCGCAACGATCGACGGCATTTCCCACGCAAAAGTTCGAAGCTGTGGGGATTGCAGCTAGTTACTATAAATTGTTTGACACACTCAACACTCCAGAGCCTCCGCGACAAGAGTCTTTGATTGTATCGGCAGGCGAATACAAACATGGCTAAAATTTATGCCCTCCATAAGGAAAGTTTTGCACAAAAAGAACCAAAATGAAGTCGATATAAGGTTGGGATATAAAGGAAATCTATAGGGATGGGTATTAAGATGTTGCTGGAGCCTTCCCAGGATTTTATTCAAGGGTTTCCTTATAGGTTTTCATATAATTTCTGTATTTTTAAATTAAATCTTCTTAAATTTTATCATCGTCTCATGGTATTTATTTCTCTCTCTGCATTAGAAAGTGGGCTCGGTTACCGAGGGCCGTGAAAATCCATCTCCCACTAATGGCTTTTTAATGAAACCACCGCCTCCGCCACTGCCACCAAGAACTTGGCGACTAAGTAACTCAAATTAAGTGTATTAATTATGACTGGCAAACTAAACTGCTGCTATGGCTCCTACGGCTTCTGGTGGAAGAGAAATGGCCAAGACGAAAAGTGCAAAAGTTAGCAGGTGCCAGCCAGACTTTTGGCTTTTCGCATTTGCATTTGACATTTGGCAAGATGCGCCGTCGCCAAACTGCTTCCCTCTAGACCGAAAACCGGGATCGCGGCATTTTGGCCTGCTTACTGCATTTGGCCAAAATGTCTATAGTTCAATTGCTGATATTTTGGCCAGACACACGACGAAACACGTGACCTATTGCAGGCAGCAGAGTAGCAATCGATGAGCGGGAGGCTGCGTGACACGAAAAAAAAGAGGAGCGGAGGAAATTGGGGTTGTCTGGGAGAGTTAAGGTGGGAATAAGGTGTCTAATTATTGCTTGGAAACAACCAATATATAAAGCAATATAGCGATATTATATTTTTTTATATATTTGGGTTGAATATATATTGTTTTTGATACATAAAAACTGTGCCAAAAATGAGATAAATCTTAGTTTTAATTATTTTTGTAAGAAATAAATATAAAGAGATTTTCCATAGGGTTGAAAATAAGGCTTAAATAATAGGTAATATAAATAATATCGATATTTTACCGATAATTTCGATAAACCACTATTTACGATATTTTTTAATATTTATTGGACTATATAACTAACCTAATAACCCTTATTGTTAACCTCACGCTCCCATCTCTATAGATCTCCTTTGCCTTGCGATGGGCAAAAGTTTAATAAATTGTTCGACTTCGATTTAAAATAAATCGACATCGAAATCAAGCACAAATCTTTCAGCACAAAGTAGTAGTTATTTTCTGTATTTCTTCACCCTAATGAAGGTTGGCATTGTGGTGGCTATGGTGGTAATGTTGCCATTGCTGTTGTCATGCAAATTGGACTCACGTTTTGCACATTAAGCAACGGTCAATTGTTTCAGCAAATGCAATGATTGAGTTCTTGGCACCTGGCCAAGCCTCCGCCACGTTATGGCCCTAACCCCTTGCCACTCTCTAAGCCAGCAGCTTAAAGCCCGGCCCGCATGTGTTGCTCCGCAGAGAACCTGGCTAATTGGAGTCCAAGTCCCAGGTCCGACAGGGAATGATGCCCCTCAACTTCATCTCGATCTTAACAGTAACAGTAAAAATGAAGACAAAATATTTACCGTAACGCATTAAGAGAACAAGAACAAAAGTTACTGATGCTGATGTTGCTGCTGCTGCTGCCAGTTGCAAGTTGCCAGTTGTGCTATCAGTATCAATAGTAATTTGAGGCGGCTCTCTTTGGGGGCGGAGTTCGGAGAGGGAAAGCCAAGCCGCATGATGGTGTCGTAGGTCAGGCGGCAGCAGCAGTTTAAGCCAACTTGCAATTTGTGGCCTACGGGAAGTAGCTGTAGCAGCAGCAGCAGCAGCAGCAACTGCAACTGCAACCGGCAACTGCAGCATTGTAATGACGATTTGTAGCCAATTATTTCAAATATTGTATTGAAATTGTAGGCCAGTGTGAGTGTGTGGCTATCTCCCGATTGGCATCTACAGAAGCAGGCCTAGGACGGGTAAGCTCCCTCCTCCAGCTCCACTCTCTCCCCTTACAGAGAGAGAAATTGGTAAACAGTTGGTAAAATAATATTAAAAACTAAAACTCAACTCTTTGGATTGATTTATATCAATCAATATTATTTTGTTCTCCATAACTAAATCCTTATAAATATTTTCCTTTACTACTTTCCACTTGATCTACCCATTTTTCCCTGTGCAATTTCCCCAATCTCACGTAGCTCGACGTCCGAGTGTGTCACAAGTGACCACTAGAAGTCCGAGTCCAAGTCCAAGTGGTTGCCAATCGATGGCAAATCTCGAAAACCTGCAACCAACAATCCGAGACTCAGTCTCTCGGCTAAGGTCGCCGCAGACTCCATTGCGATTCCCACAACCTGACGCATCTTTGTCATGTGTCCGATTAATCACCAAGCTCAACCCCGGGACTCAACTCCACACCGACTTCTCTTCACAGAAATACCCGTACGTGGCCATCGGGTCACGTCAACTACCAACTGGCTGAAGTGGCTGTGGAAGCAGAAGCAACAGCACGCGCTGGACGACCTTTGTGGCAGCAGCAACATCAACTTCCACCCATCAGCAACATCAGAAACATCAGCAACAGCTATGTATGGGGGCTACGGCTGCGGCAGCAATCTGACATTCATACGTTAATTTTAGCTTGTTGCATCAGTCAGATGATTGCCGGTGTCATTGTCGGGGATTTACACTAGACAGCAAAGAAGGTGAAGAATTTAAGGGGGTTGTAAAGGAGATGGTTAATTAAGAAATGTTGGAAACAAATTTAAGAGCTTGCCAGGTTAATATTAAGTCTTATAATATTTTTGTATACCTTAAAGAGTAATTAATTTCTTGAAAACTTACTTATTTAATAGTTCAATATGTTAATAGAAAATCTAAACAACTTTTAACTATTTTTTCTCACTTTTTTATGGATTAAATGACGACCAGTTTATAGGCCATATATCTTCATATCTTCAATCATTAAAATTCTGATGAGAATATGTACAAGTTCTTAATTTGATGGCTACTATTATATGGCTACTTAACTTTAAGGGATATATCTTCATGTTTATCGATTGTATTGATGCCTATAATTTCCAGGGACATTTCATCTTGTTTATTGATTGGTAATGACCAATTTATAGGCCTTATATCAATGCCTGGCCCTAATATTTTCGACTTAAGTTAAGAAAAATTATATGGCCACCTTCTCAGAATCAAAATCTTAAATCAATAAAGCATAAAATGCATAAAACCTCTGCTGCTTAGTGTGTTTAGCTAATCAAGCACTTAAAATTCAGCAGCACGATCGAAAGAAAGAAAAAAAAAGATAAACAGCTAAGAGCTAACAAAGAAGCCCAAGAATGCAACGGCAATTGTCTCTCTGCCTGGCAAAAACTTATTAATACCTTATTAGACAAGGGTCTTTGGCAAAAGTCACCATGGAATATCAATGAGAATGGCGGTAATGGCGACCACGGTGGCAT